GTCACTCGCAGGGAACTCCTAGCCGTTGTTTTTTTCCTACGTCAGTTTCGACCGTACCTGTACGGCCGTTCCTTTATCGTACGTACGGATCATGCGGCCTTGCAATATGCCCTTAAAATGGATCAACCTTCCGGCCAGCTGTCGCGTTGGTTGGACACGCTACAAGAATTTTCATTTCAAATTCACCATCGTAAAGGGGTGCGCCATGCGAACGCAGACGCACTTTCTAGATTTCCGCAGCGCTCCCCTTGCAAATGTGCGTCGGGGACGCAGAGATGTGCGCCCAGCCTACCCCCCCCTCAGCCGGTGGTATTGGCTGTGGAGAAGTTGGATGCTCCTGTGGAACCGGGGCCGACTGATGGGGTTTTGAATCTGCCACGGTCTGTTTGGATAAGGGAGCAAATGATGGATGAGTCGTTAGTGTCCTTGCGGAAGCGATCCAAAGTGGAGATTGGGGGTCCGGTTACGGAGGGTGCGCCGGAAACCGCGGTCCGAGATGGTCTGCTTATGTGGAGGGAAAGTCTCCAGGAACACTGGCGTCTAGTAGTGCCTGCGTCCCTACGATACGAGTTGATTAGAACTCTCCATTGTGACACGCTATTACATCTGGGTGTGCAGAAGACCTTGTTGACGTTGCAACGTCATTATTTTTGGCACGGCATGGCGACGGATGTCGTGGGGCACGTCCGCGCGTGCCCTGACTGTGCCCGGCGTAAGCCACCTAAACATCCTTATGTGCCACCCTTACAGTCAATTCAGGTGTCTCGGGTCAATGAATTGGTGGCACTGGACATTTTGGGACCTTTCCCACCTTCGGCGAGGGGTAATAAATATTTGCTGGTCGGGGTTGAGTGCCTCTCCCGTTGGCCGATGGCCTGGCCGTTGCCCGACCAATCGGCCGCGGCCATTACCGACGCCTTTTTGTTCGGATATGTTATGGACAAGGGTGCGCCGGAGAGACTCCTTACGGATCAGGGCCGAAATTTTTCTTCTAAATTATTGGCGGAAGTATGCGCGGGCCTAGGGACTAAGAAGGTCCGGACATCCCCATACCATCCGCAAACGGATGGTATGGTTGAGCGGCTAAACCGGACATTGTCTGCCATGCTGTGCCACACGGTGAGTGAGCAACAATCGGATTGGGACCTGCACATCCCGGGGGTGCTTTCGGCGTACAGGATGACTCCTCATGCGGCTACGGGTTATTCGCCGTTTTACCTTATGTATGGTCGGGGAAAACGTGCCGCCAATGGATGTGCAGATGGGAACCGGTGTAAGGGGACCTTGTAAACCGCTTCCTGACTACATTCGGGACACTGTTCGCCGGGTCTCGGAGGCGCGGGAGAGTGCCCGTGTGGCTACGGCCAAAGCTCAGGCCCGGAATGAGAGGTATGCACGGCGTTCCAAGGGGGAGTGCCCCTGGAAGGTTGGGGACCTGGCCTGGCTCCATTGCCCGCAGGTGCGGCCGGGTACCTCTCCCAAATTTCACAAACCTTGGCAAGGGCCCGTCCGCCTCATTGAGGTTCCTAACCCTCAGTCGGCGCGTGTTCAGATTGGTTCTCGCCGCTGGTTTGTTCACACGTCGCGCTTGAAACCGTATGTTGCTCCCCTACATGATGCTTCATCTCCCAATGTTGCCTTGCCGGGGTCTGTTGCTGCCGACTCTCCCCCGCCTGCGTCCATTGATCTTGCTAGAGCGCCTGTAGTACCTGTTCCAGGCAGGCCGGCCTTGACACCGGAGGGGACGAGGCGCCCTGCTCGGAGGGTGCCTGCCAGATCTGCGGGTCCTTCGAGCCCTGCAGCCCTTCCGACCCCGCTGCAGACACATCCGCGGGACACGCCCAAGACTGATCCTTCAGGGACACGGGACGTTGGTGGACTTCCAACAGCGACAGGGGGATTTCACCCTGTCGCTCCTCAAACTCAATCACGTTCCCGTTCCGCGGATGGGCCGCCGACCGTCCGGGACGGGCCGGCGACCCGCACACGCTCTAAATCCCTTGTGTTTCGTTGATTGTTATGTTGTGTTGTTCTTACTGTGTATTTATTGCCTGCTTCTGCTACGTTATTTGATTGTTGAGTTGTGTTGATTGTTCTTACTGTTATATTGCATGCTTGGTGTCCCTTGGTGTGTTACGCTCGGGTTCGCCCGCATTACTGTTGGTGTTGTTCAGCCGAGGTCGGCTGGGTTTTTCTCCACGGGGGAGGGTGGTGTAATGCGGGCGCGGGCGACCTCCCGGATGTGACGTCACGGAGAGGTGGAGTTAGGTGACGTGGGAGCAAGGTTAAGGTTCTTAAGAGAGGAGACCGGAAGAGGAAGGGAGAACGAGTGAGACTGGACCAGAGTAAGGCCACGTGGGCAAAGCCAGAAGGGGTGGCACGGCGGCCAGCGGTGGCCAGCCGGAGGAACAGCCAGCGGAGCTGAGAGAGAGAGAGAGAGCAGTGGGGCTGCTGGAGAGAAGGCGATCGAGGAGCCGCAGTGAACACAGCCGGCGAGGCTGTGTGTGAGGGAAAGGCTACAAGAGCAACGAGGGGAGAGAGAGAGGCTACAAGAGCGACGAGAGGAGAAACTGCAGAGAGAACAGCCAGTGGGGGATGCGTGAGGATAACAGCCAGCAAGACTACAACGACGACGGGAGACCAACAGAGGAACTGTTGGCGTGACGGAGTTAACAGCAGTATCAGTGTCGGTATAGAAGTCTAAATAAAGGACAGCCGTGTGGGTTACGAGGAAGGACCAAATAAAGGACACCAAGCCAGACTTCGTGGTCGAGTCCTTTATTACAGTTGCATTGCTCTTGTTAGGTGTCTTTGCATTAACGGGCTGGAGTTTCACTAATGTGTCAGCGGCACAAGGTTGAGCAGGACGGCTCACAGCGAATCGATCTGCTCCACTACACGCCGCCAGCCGTCGTCAGCGCCCGGGGACGAAGACGGCTCGGTCCCGACGTCCTTATCCGGTGCCTTCGTAGAGGCAGCCGTGGTCGCCGTAACCGGGTCCACAAGCCCCCAGGATCGGCAGGTCCTGGGTGAGTGAGTCGTCATCGTCGTCAGAAGACGGCGCAAGTGGGATTTTCTTCTTGAGATGCTTGGACATTTTCGTCTGACGTCAAGAACCACTTCTGACCCCAATTGTAATAAATCAGCTCGATGACAATCGACCGTGTCTTCTTTATTTATTTGTTCTCATGCTGGACAGCTCCGCGTTCTTCCACCCTGTTCCTTCGCCCCGCGTCGCGCCACGTGAGCTGTTGTCCCGCGTGCGCGCACCGCTCTCTCTCGCTCCCGCGTACCGCTGGCAGACGGCGCGCTTGGAGCCCGTCTCTGCACCGCCACGTGGCCGATGGCTCGCGGAGACCTGAGACGTGGCCCCACTTCCGGACCTTACTCACTGACCCTGAGTCCCTTCCGGCTTTCCCTTATAACCCCTTCCCGCGTCACCCAGACCCCGCCTCTCGCCACACCCCCTCACAAACTTTCTCGATGATACCCCATGAGCACCCTCGGGCTCCGCCCTTGAACTTTAACCCCGATAGTTCTTGTTACCCAATTGGCTTAGAGACTGAGGCGGCGAAGCCCACCCCACCGTTCGGAGACCGCCAGCATACGCTCGCATTACACTAACATGGCCACCTCTGCTCCCTTAGCCTCGATGTATCGATGGTTCTGGCTGTGTGATGGGTTGTGTGTCCCACTGGCGCGACCACCGTTGCAGTGGTTCTCTTGCGTGGACGCGCTTGCCTCTCAGCACAGTTGGCAGCGCTGCAGCTTGTGTTACACATAGACATGACATTAACTTGCTAATCCCCCTAATCTTTCCCATCAACATAGTGCTAATCTCCCATTATCACTGCTGTTGTGCGCATATGCGGGGACGATACTCTTATGCGGCAACGGAAGCTCATTTCATGCTAACCTCTCTCCCTAATCTCTCTCTCCCTAATCTCTCCCATTAACACAACTGACGTGCTTGCGTCCGGGGATGGAATTCCTTTCCAGCTCAGACCCCGCCTGCTTGCCTTTTGCCGCATATATAACCTCTTGTAACAGCTCTCTTACTGGTTCAGCAGTTCCACTGCTGGATTATTTTTTCTACCTATGTAGCATTACCGAAATAACCAAACAGTATCAATACTATATTATGAATGACTCGGTGCGATGCAATGACTGAATGACTGGATGAATGAGTGACTCGCGGGATGATATAATGACGGAAAGGATCGACGTATAATACATTAGTAAGGAATGTTCGAATAGATTAATAAATATTGATTGAAGTGATAATAATTGAATGAATAGAGAAAGATGTAATGACTGACTGAATATGCATGAGTGAGGAATTATGTATGGATTGAGTAAGGCATGATGTGATGGCTGAATAAGTTAGTAAAGAATGATGTTATGAGTAGACAGATTAATAAATGAGTAAGAAATATGATTATGAAATGAATAAGGAATGATATGACTGGATTAATGAATAAGACAGTTAATGACTAGACGAATTAATAATGAATGACGTGGTAACTTAATTAATTACTAAGGAATGAGTATGGAATTATACGGTGACTGGATGAATTAAAACACGAGTAAGGAACGATATGACTGGATTAATGAATTTGGAATTATTTGATGGCTGAATGAATGAGTAAATAATGACGTGCCGATTGGATGACTAAGGAATTATGTGAGTGCGAGATTAATCCATAGGGATTTTTGCATATTAGTGAATGATGCGATGACTGGACGAATGAATGAGAAAGAATTGATGTGATGACTGCATGAATGAATAATAAATTAGTACTGAGCGATGACTAGTGAATGAATATTGAATGAGAAGAGAATGATGTTATGGCTGGACGAATGAGTAATCAACTAGTACGGAATGATATGCTCACTGTATGAATGAATAATGAATGAGATACGAACGATGATACTGTGACCGGGTTGAATGAATAACGAATGAGAGAATGACGATGCGCTGACACCGCCCTCTTCTCAGCTGATCGTCACTCTGCCCCGACATGGCCGCTGCTCGCAGGATGCATCAATCGCTGCTGCACTGACGCCGCCTTCTCCTCCTCCTCCTCTTTGTCCTGTCTCCTCATCCTCATTTTCCTCCGCGTCCGCCTCCTCCTTCTGCTGCTAACCCTGAAGAGACGCAGCTGCTGCCCCGAAATGGAGGAGCTCAGCCCAGACGAGGTGCTCGCAACATCCCTCCCCCAACCCGCGTCGGCGCGGCCCCTCCGCCACGGTCCCTCGCCCTCCCGGGCACGACCGCTAGGCTAGCTCGAGGCTCCGCCGGGAAAGTAGGCCGCAGCTGTTGGGTGGTCGCGGCCGCGTGTGGACAGAGTCCCCGGTGGGCCCCGGTGGGCCCCGGTGGGCCCGCGGTGTCAGGAACAGGGAGGCCCCTTAGAGCATGCGAATCGGGTCGCTGTAGGTGCCTCGCCGTGGCCCCCACAGGAGACGCGGTGTCCCTGCGACTCCATGCCGGGTTCGAGCTAAGGCGACTTTATCTCTAACACCACCACACAGACACACACACAGACACCACCACACAGACACACCACACAGACACACACACCACACAGACACACACACACCACACAGACACACAGGCACAGACACACACACCACACACAGACACACACACAGACACCACCACTCAGACACACCACACAGACACACACACCACACAGACACACACACAGACACCACACACAGACACACACAGACATTACACGGCCACCTAAATGCTGCCTGCGTCTCTATCTCGCCATCTACCTGCGCGTACCCAGCCACGTCTTTACCTACTTAGCGACCCACTTACCTGCAAATGTCCACCCACCTGCATTCGTGCCGGCACATGCACCGGCGTACTCCTTCCTCCGTGCGTGGCCTCTGAGATTACAGCGGAATAAGAGTTCCTATCAAGCCGATAATAGCGTGAAAGTGGTCTACATAACAAGCCCGGCGTAGAACCAGAGGTATGGCAAATTAAACATGCGTCTTCGAGAGCTTCGTTTCGGATTTAATTGTTAAAGAAGTATCGGCTTGTGGAATTACAGTTTCAATAAATTAATTGAGGCAGATTGTGTGGCGATAAATGTGACGTGGAATCCGATTCAAATGCAACAATGAGTCATCCATTTAACTTTGGCAATGTTTTGCCCAATCTTCGCCTACCCCTTGACGAGACATTATAAGACCCCTTGGAACGTTAATAGTGGGATTTTAAAGAACCAGCTCGAACTCGGAACCTGTTAGCGTGGGCCCAGCCTTGTAAACACGCGGCTCTGGCCCGCGCCTTATTACTGCAGTGTCATTTTGTTTGCGTTATAGCGCCACGCACGCCACGGCCCGCGACACGGGCCCTCCTCCTCCTCCTACAGGAGGAGGAGGAGGGCCCGAGGAGGAGGAGGGCCCGCGACACGGGCCCGAGGAGGAGGAGGGCCCGCAACACGGGCCCTCCTCCTCCTCCTACAGGAGGAGGAGGAGGGCCCGAGGAGGAGGAGGGCCCGCGACACGGGCCCGAGGAGGAGGAGGGCCCGCGACACGGGCCCGAGGAGGAGGAGGGCCCGCGACACGGGCCCTCCTCCTACAGGAGGAGGAGGAGGGCCCGAGGAGGAGGAGGGCCCGCGACACGGGCCCGAGGAGGAGGAGGGCCCGCGACACGGGCCCTCCTCCTCCTCCTACAGGAGGAGGAGGAGGGCCCGAGGAGGAGGAGGGCCCGCGACACGGGCCCGAGGAGGAGGAGGGCCCGCGACACGGGCCCGAGGAGGAGGAGGGCCCGCGACACGGGCCCTCCTCCTACCGGAGGAGGGGGAGGGCCTGAGGAGGAGGAGGGCCCGAGGAGGAGGAGGGCCCGCGACACGGGCCCGAGGAGGAGGAGGGCCCGCGACACGGGCCCGAGGAGGAGGAGGGCCCGCGACACGGGCCCGAGGAGGAGGAGGGCCCGCGACACGGGCCCGAGGAGGAGGAGGGCCCGCGACACGGGCCCGAGGAGGAGGAGGGCCCGCGACACGGGCCCGAGGAGGAGGAGGGCCCGCGACACGGGCCCGAGGAGGAGGAGGGCCCGCGACACGGGCCCGAGGAGGAGGAGGGCCCGCGACACGGGCCCGAGGAGGAGGAGGGCCCGCGACACGGGCCCGAGGAGGAGGAGGGCCCGCGACACGGGCCCGAGGAGGAGGAGGGCCCGCGACACGGGCCCGAGGAGGAGGAGGGCCCGCGACACGGGCCCTCCTCCTCCTCCTACAGGACACGGGCCCTCCTCCTCCTCCAACCAGGAGGAGGAGGGCCCGTGTCGCGGGCCCCGTGGGTTTGGCGAAACTGAGATCGGGGCCCTCATTGGCACCGTTAGCAGCACCACAACAGTCGTCTTGCTCGGGCCATAAGCTCACTCTCGGTGAGTGTATTGGTCTTGTGGCTTAACATCTGAGGTGAATAATCCAGCACTTTGTGATATAATAAGAACTCCTTCATACATCTGTCCCCCAATAAATACAAATTAAAATGTATATTTTGAAATGGATTCTGGAAAAGTATAATTTCAGCAGTATAATTCAACACAAGCAAACTGTGAACTGATTTCGGCATTTATTGTTTCGTAGATTAGTAAAGCTTCTTTAAATCAATGCTAGTAATTTGCCAGATGTGTTAGATTTGGGACCTCATGCCATGAAACATGAATACATAACACAGCACTTTGCGGTCGATTGACACGAGTGTGGCGTGACCTCGCCTCTACCCGTCGGCCCCGTGTTGTTTACCGCTCATCCACCGCTTTATTAATAGTTTCACCTCGGTGCAAATAACCACAGTCATAATAACTCTGCTGTTGGGGACCACGTGCTGTGGGATGACCTCGGCGTCAACAGCATCGTGATTTCACTTTGAGGGCACATAACATACCTGAGTATGGGAACAAAAACCTATTTAATAACGTACAATCCAACGTTTCCTTTCATTTAGCAAAAACCACGGGCCCATACGCAACCTAAAATAGGTGCAGAAACAACTGTTGGCAATCCAATAATGTACTCCATTTGACAATGGGGTTAACTTTTCTTATGGGATGAGCACTTATACGTTAGACGTTGCTGTTTGCTCAGTGTTGAAATGTGTGTGAGTGAGGTAATTTTATATGGCGAAAGTCTAACCATTTTATTATGTATTATATAGTTACATTTATTGAACTAGGACCCGTATCAAACAGAGTGAGTCCTTGCTTCTAATTATGTAGTTCACCAGTATTAACTATAATAATTTGCACTTATAATGCACCTTTTACAAATGGCCTCAAGGCAAGCCTGACTGCTTATGAGACATTGAAACTGGCCCGGAGTTTGCTATGTTAAACCAATGCTACTGGAAAAATTTACTGCCGGAAGTCCGTGTGGCTGATGAGATGTGTAAAATAAATACTTTGATTTTTTTATGTTGAGATACAAATATGGCAAGGCGATGTATTGGTCTTTTTGGTAAAACGCACACCTTATTAACAATGCTTTGCTTGTTTAAGTTCATGCAGTGTTCACATTGCAAAACCATGAGACAGACAATACCACCACCACAACAAAGATGTTATAGGATGGTAACTGCTGTGCCATACTTGCTGTACAACGCTTGCAGAATTAGCGGACTTTAGTTTGACAGAAAGAGCATTGTGCATGACTGACCTGTATTTCAAAAGCAAACTTTGTCATGTAATTGACAACCTCACAACAATGAATAATACAGTCCTTTAAATAAAAAAACCACCCATCATAGCCATTGTAATAATTAACTTCCTCTGAATACCATAAGTTTCATCATCGTTGAGCAGCGTAAATCATTTTAATTTGTCATGAAACGAAAATGACACAATTTCTCTGCATTTGCCCATTAAGTATCGCATTGCACAAATGAAAGTGGCGGTCTTGTGATGACACCTGTTATGGCTTTGTCATGTGTGTTGTGCATGCTGTGTGTGCTGTTTTTGCTATGTGCGCTGCATGTGCTGTGCGAGCTGTCAGCTGTGTGTTGTATAGCCATTCACTGGTGGCTATGCATGTCTGCCATCCAGCACTAGAGGCGAGGGTTGGTGGATCTTCTCTGGGAAATCTGGTTTATCCGATGTGGATAAATACTCATTAATGCATTGGTAAAATATCTCAATATAGGACCGCAGAATTTCAGCGATTTTTGGCACTGGTTGTGATTGGGTATTTGCTTATCTATGACTCCCCCGCCTGTGAAAACTACAGCGTTTTGAGATTAAATTGCTATTGTTTTAAGTGTGCTGTACTATGTGAGCTGTCTTCTGCATATTTGTGCTGATTATGCTACATCCGCTGCTTGTGCTCTCTCCCCGTGGCGTTCACCAGATCCGCAGGCGCCGCCTCGCTCGTTTGGCGCAGCCGGCCACGCCGCTCACGTCACCGCAGCGAGAGACGGCACCGCCTATCGCGGGGCCCGCAACTCCCGTAGCCTCATCACCCCCGGCCACGGCCCAGGGGCCATCCATAGCCCAGGGTCCGTCGACCTCGCCGAGCGTGCCCGTGGGTGCGTTTGTGAGGTTGCGCCTGGCACCCTGGTTACAGCGCCCAGCTCGCAAGTCTGAAGTTCAGGCTCTCTTCACAACATGTGGCACATACTTATGTTGGATGGCAGGGTGGCACAGTGGTAATACTTGTGCCTCACAGGAAAAGCGTCTGGGTTCGATACCTGACTCAGCTGCCATTCTGTGTCGCGTTTGTGTGTGTGTACCCCCTGTTCTGCATGGGTTTCCTCTGGGATCTCTGGTTTTCTTTCATAGCTAAACACACCCAATGTCATTGGTATTGGCTAAATATCCCAATGTTGGCCAAACATACCAATGTTTTCGATTTTTTTTTTATAGATTGAAAACTCATTGATTTAGAACTTACTTTTGTATAGTTTGATGTCCTTCCCCCGCACCTCCGATTAGTATTGTTGGCTTTGTACATTGCGAAAGAAGTTCAACATACCTTCATACATACAATGAAGCAGAACCCTGTTAGGGCAGAATTTTTTTACTCGAGCATGGCTTTCTTGGGTAAACAAGTAATGACTATTAATGTAAATTTTACCCATCCCTCCAGGGTTGATCAAATAAGGACCACTTTGTGGGAAAGCAACAGTTGTCCTATGCTGAGATATTCCCCTGCCATCGGGATATGGAATGCCGCCTAGTTACGTAAAAAAAAGTCACTCCTTTAACTCTGTCCCTGGAAACCAGTTTACAGACATGAAGGTAAATTTTGTTAATAATGGCACATTGCGGTACCGCAGTCCCCTTCTCTGATGGTCATGCACAGCATTAGCTTTGATATGTAACTTCGGCAGTGGTGTGTGTCAACACTGGCGTTAGAGCACCGTTACAACATTGCTTGGGGAATGTGGAGTGGGGGTCACCCCAACCCCCTCCCTGTTAGGCAGAACCCGAATTCATGCTCTGCTTCCATAATTAGTGGAAATTATGCTGGCTCTGAGCATGAGACGGGCTGGGCTAACATGTCCACACTCCCACGGCAGGCCAACTTGACACCATGCGGGCTAGTGAGTTGTGTTTTAATTTCTCATGTACAAAACTGCTAGGTGCACAATTAAATAAAGCAATGCAAATCATAAACAAAATACTCAAACTGGCATGCATCCCCTGGCCCCCTGTTCTGGCAAACATTGCCACCAAATATCCACAAAGACATGCGAACTGCAAAGGCGTTTACATGTCTTTTTTTTGCCAACGACAACCTACCCATCAACCAAGACCTCAACAATGTACCTTACTGACGTCCGATCCCCCGTCTGGATTCATGCTGTCACAATCCTCAAATCTCACCCAGATCCAGAAGAACGCTGTCGAACAGAGTGAAACAATGCGGAATTCGATAATAAACACCTAATTCACAATTTATCACACCTTTTGACTTTTACATTCCTCGAAGATACTGGTGTAACCATCCATTGCATCAGAACATTTCTTTACGAAATGGAAAATTAAAGACAACGCACATTGTGACTTGCCATGCAACCCAAACTATGGACCATATAGTAATCCAGTGGATTCTGTGCTATTGCAACGTAGGAATAGCAAAATTACACGAACTCTCTTCTGAAAGCCTCTTGTGTGTTTTTTTTGCTATGGGAGAAACTAGAGAAACAGGAGGGAACCTTTGCCAAATAGGGAGTGAACATATTCCACACAAAGGCACCAGTCTGGAGTCGAACCCAGACATACTTGCTGTGACGCACCAGTATTACCACTGGGCAACCCTTCTGCCCTTCACTGCAGTATTTTGGGCGAGCGTGCAAGCGAGTCGTGTGACTTGCTTCGTGTTGCTCCACAGAGATGAGCCAGAGCAGCTCTTTGAGCAGCTCCCCGTCGGCCGGCGCCGAGTCGCAGTCGCAAGGCCTATCGCGCTCACAGAGCATGGAGATCGACCGCTCTGCACCCGACAAGAGGTGCACATCCACCCCGCTCGCTCCCCTCCAACATGCTCGCTCCCCTCTCACCATTCACTTCAAAGAGCTCCATTCAGTTATTCAATACGGGCGGCTGTAATCATCACATGATAGAAAGTTCTGATTATTAATTTGTTGATTATGGAATGCTCTAATCATTAATTACAGAAGTCTGCATTCACTATAGAGTTCTTGAATCAAATCATGATGCTAAATTGTGTTCAAGGTATCCAGTAAATGTCAGACATGTATACAAACATGTAAAATCTACATGCAGACACTCGGATACAGATGCTAATACTTAGTAGAAGAGGTTTTTTTGGTGTTAGATCGCGTAAATAAATATATAAATGTGCCGTTAAAACCCACCACCACCTGACACAGCCAACTAGTAAGGGTTGTCATGTGAACAGAATATACCAATTCGTCACTAGTACAGCACACCGGTGTGTTGGAGAGCCAAGCCACAACATTTACAAACCGAGTACGACGTTTCGCCAGTAATTACAACTAGCTTCATCAGGCGACAGCCAGATTTGTGGAGAAATCTTATTGTTTTGTTCCTTATATAGAGGCGTAGATGTGGTGACCACCCTTTTGCGCTCTTGCGCCACGTGGGGAGGGGGAGGGATTACTGAGGCAATGTACATTATGCATGTGCATTATGCGAGCCCTTTGAATTTGTCCTTCCTGTCTATCGTGTTTATTAAAATAGCCCTACCAACGGTAATCCCTATTGAAGTACGCTGCCCGTTGTAGGCATGCATTTAAATAATGTAATATTTGATGATTCGCTTCCATGCAGCAGTAAGACTGTAGCTATCCGAACGGTGAAAGTTATTTTGATTTATTTCAATTTCGATAGATTCTATAATTAGTCTTGGCCAGTAGTAGCTGGTTTTGCACAAAACTTCAACATCAAAATCAATTGAGTGTCTTTGTTGGCACGTGTGTTCTGCTACTGATGACAGTTGTATTTGGGATAATTTAATATTTCTGTGATGTTATTTTAATCTTTTGCTGATCATTCGTCCTGTTTGCCCAACAACAGTTATCATACGTGCAGTTAATCCTGTACACACTTTATGTCGATAGCTTCGGTAATACATCTTTTGTACCAGATATAAAATTCTGTATTTTATGTACCGTGCCAAATATGACTTGGATATTTTGTTTTTCCAAACATCTGGCTATTGATCGGTTACTCCCGCAATGTACGATATTTTGATCATTTTAATTACTTGGGCAGTCATCATTAGACTTCCTTTGCCAGTACCAAAATATAATAATAGGGTTTTCCCCCTTTTTCAATGCTCTTGTTTTTTTATTTGGTTTTGGTATTCAATGCCCTGTTGATTTGTGCATCATTGTAACCGTTCATTTGCAGCGCTTCTTTAACATGTTGAATTTCACTTCTCAGACTGTCACCCACCATCTGACAATTTCTTAGCTCGATGAATGAGCGTCTTGATAAGAGCAGATTTATGCGCGGGGTGATGGTGTGACTGCATTCAGATAGGCATCAGTATACGTTTTCTTTCGGTAAATACTGTGTTATTTTACCATTTCTACCCTGTCCGAGCAGAATATCCAGAAATAGTAGAGTTGTATCAGCTTACACTTCCATGGTGAACTGGATGAATGGGTTTTACGAGTTGAGATGATTTAGAAATGCATTCAGTGTATCTTTGCCGTGTGGCCAGACCACCAATGTGTCATCCACATATGTAAACCAAGCAGAGGGTCTTAGTGTGCTTGAAGCTATTGCTTTTGTTTAAAAATCCTCCGTCTACAAATTTGCTATCACAGGAGACAAAGGAGAGCCCATTGCTGCTCCTTCCTTTTGTTTATAGAAGTCACCTTACCACAAGAAGTAAGTGTTCTTTAGACAGTGTTCAGCTAGTTTTGGGATATCTTTGGCTAAACCGTTGTTCGTTACCAGAGTGTCGAGTAATTTAATTGACTCGTTGACTAGAACCCTGGTGAACAGCGAGGTCACATCAAAACTTATGATAATATCATTAAGATTAAGCTTAATATCTTCAAACAAATTTACGAGATGTTCAGAGTTTTTGATGAACGAAGAGGTCCTACCGATGTAGGGCTGTATTTGTTTAATTACGTATTGCGCTAAATTGTACGTGGCATAGCCTATTGTACTAACTATGGGTTTTAATGGGACATCAGGTTTGTGAATTTTTTTTTTGGTAGCCCATAAAGTTCCAAGGGCTCGCATAATGCACATGCATAATGTACGTTGCATCGGTAATTCCCCCCACATTGTGCAAGAGCGCAGAAGGGTGTGTCAACACATCTACGCCTCTATATAATGAACGAAACTTCTCCACAAATTTGGCTGTCACCTGATGAAGCTAGTTGTAATAACTGGCGAAACGTCATACTCATTTTGTAAATGTTGTGGCTTGGCTCTCCAACACACCGGTGTGCTGTACTCGAGACGAATTGGCATGTTCTATTTACATGACAACCCTTACTCGTGGGCTGTATCAGGTGGTGGTGGGTTTTAACGACACATTTATATATTTACGCGATCTAACCCCAAAAAACCTCTATTATGGATGATATTGGTCGTGAAAGCCTACGTGTTAAACCGAGTAGAAGGTTGAAATGTTGAACTGAGAGGGTGATGAGTGATGGGTTGTGCAGTGGATCTCAGGTGGATGTGGACTCGGGGATAGAGAACATGGAAGTGGAGGAGAGCGACCGCAAGGATAAGCGAGGCCTGAACGTAAAGGTCAGTGATAAAATGACGTGGCCTCGATCATATCACCTATATGGGCGAATACAAGTCAGAGGGCTGAGCTGCCACTGCTGAGTTCTTGGGTGTGATTCCAGGATTCACCTCTGCAACAAATGGAAAAACCTGTTACCACTGTGCCCTGTCATCGAGATGTCGGCAGCTGGCGTGGTGTTGCCCACATCACTATCACCTGCGCTGTGCTGGCCTTAAAAGGCACCCTCTAATGGCACTTGCCCAACAGTTAATGCAGTACTTTGGATGCTAAGGTTGGTGGATCACACCAATTCATAAAAATGGGTCTTCCCCTGTTCTGGATGGGTGTCCTCAAGACTATTACTCAATTGGGATTATATACAGCAGTAACATTGCCTCTGACTGTGAACACTAGCAGGACCAACCTGAGAAAGTCTGCTGTACTATGTGAGCTGTTTGTCACGTGTGCTACATCAGCTGCTTGTGCTCTGCGCTCTTCCTTGAGACTCAGTGAGCCTTTCCTAGGTAAACAAGCATTATAGTAATACAAAGTTATTGTATACACAGGGCTTGATGCAGGCCTCGGACGACACGGAGATGACCAAGGACCAGCTGCTACAGCTGGTGTGCAAGATCCTGCGGGTGTCGTGGAAGCAGCCCGGCCGGGACCTGATCTACCTCCCAGCGCTCGCGGCCGAGTTCCTTGCCGCCCCACGGAGCGTGTTTTCCGACTGGAAGGACCTGGTGGGACAGATCCTCGTGGAGGTGCTCGTGAACCTGACACGCTCGGATGCGCAGGCTCCTGCGGATCTCCCTGGCTCGGTGGACTCCGTGGAGGAAAATCCGTTCGCCGGTCTTGCCACCGGACCCCTCGCAGCATCGCAGCCGGTGCCCGTGCCCCCCGGGCGGCGAGATGTCTCCGGCAGCGACCCCGTGGCGCTGTGCAGCTTTCCCAGAAGCCCCGGCGCATGCGGTGGAGAGGGTGCCAGCTCGAGGTAGGACCTGGGCGATCGTGACTGTTGCCACTCACTTGCATCTCTAGGATTCAGGTCTCTGCTGTAAATCCATTTGCAGTGTGAATTGGCTAAATAACAGGCAATTTTGTGGCATCGCCTGGGCACTGTATTAAAATGCATGACTGAGGTTTTAAATATTTTTTTAATCAAATTTGTATGGTACCACTGGGAATGCACAGCCTGAGTTTGTAGCTACGAGATAAAGAGTTGTGCTATGGGTTTTCAGTTAAATAAACAATCCATAACTGTAAAATAATTCAATTACCCACCCGAGCAACTTATAGCAATGTGACACACTCTTTTATATTATTTTGGAGACGTACTCAAATCTATGTTAGTACGGTAAAAAAATTCCATCCCTTCGGTTGTATTCATCATTATTGTTTTAGTTTTACCTCTTGTTCCTATTAGTCCAAGCGTGTCGCTTTTGCTTTTTGAGTTCCTTGCTTTTGCAATTATTCTGTGTCGTCTTTATTTCCTTGTATTTTCCTCTTTGTTTTCTTTCTTCCCCATTCTCCCAACGGCTCTGCGATGTCTCCCGGTTTCCACCAGTCTGGGTGGCAGTCAGGGCACAAGTCTGTACAGTGCCAGCCCCAGCCCCTGGTTCCGGGGTCTCGGAGCATCAGCCCTCCCATCCCGCCCCTCTCCCAGACCATCCCCGCCGTCCCCCTTTCCTGCCACCGCCGGCGCTGCTTCTCCGACCCCAGGGCAGTTCGTGCTCAATACTCCTGCTGTGCACAGTCCCATGTTCATTGGGTACGAACGAGCAGAGTGGTCCCTCCTTCCCCTCCACCACCTCACCTTATCTCGTCTTTCTAGCATGCACCCACCCACAGACACAGACACAGATGTGGATGCAGACACTCGGATGCAGGCTCACGGATGCAGGCTCACGGATGCAGGCTCACGGATAGATACGCTCAGATCTAGGAGAGCAATATAAACTCCAAAGGGACATGTAGACACTATGGCATGGTTGGCGACGTACGGTGCGAAACAAGTTCAGTATACATACAGTACATAGACATGCAGACACAGTCTTAGATGTGTGCGAACCTGAAAACCCACACACTGACAAAAGTGACAAAAAAAAACACTTTAACTTAGACACACACTGACAACTCATAAATAGACAGAGACTTTCACACATGGACAGTCACACACAGAGACTTACACAGACCTAATGGCACGAAAACACTCGTAAGCACACGTAGAAAAACACAGAATTTGGGCAGCTGCATTGTGTTTACATGACCGTCAAACAAACCACTCTTTACTTATAATTTTTATCCGATTGTTTATCATCCAACGTTTATTCATTGTTTATTTCCTTTTAAGTTCTTTCCACATTTAAATGTTCTGTCTGCTTTCACTTTTTGTACTGTCATTTTATTTCCTTCTGATTTCATTCTTTCCTCTCCGCCGCCATCACCGCTGCTCGCCGAGCAGAACCCCGCAGCGCGCAGCGTTGGCAGCGTCGCCACGCCTTGACGACCCGGTCGCCCTCCTCCTGTCTCTCGTGGCGGCTCACGGATCGCGCCGCCACCGCTCGGGCCACGGCGGTGATGATGACGACTTCGATGATAACGATGATGAGGATGAGGAGGGTGTGCTCGGCACCAGGTAGCCAGGGGGATGAGTGGGGGCGCGGCCTTCACGATCAGCTTGTACAACAACGCAACTCAAAAACCACACAGCTCTTCTCTACTAGCTACATGCTGGCTGGGATGTATACCGAGCAGCTCTTCTCTCTGCTAGCTACACAGCTGGTGTTGTGTGTTGCGGGCCGACTAGCATGACTTGGAAGTAGGGGTACTAGATTTTGTTTAATTTATCAAAAGTTTAACTAAATAAAAATACGTTTATTTTATGAAAAAAAACTATTAAGTTCTTTATTTACATCGTGTTATGCTGCATTGTGCTCACTGTCGAGGTGTATCAGTGGATGTGCTGTGGATAGGCTTACCCCTGCCATAGTATTGAGGAATTTCCACCACTGCCTCAAGGCTTTAAATGGGAGATGAGCACAAATTCAATGCTCATTCGAGCAGGACATAAATAATGATATTTAAAATAAATGAATAACATTTCCAATGCATGAGGAACAGTCCAGGACACATGACCTAGGTCTTTATCTACAAGGGTTGTTTGTTAGTTTAGGTTGCACATGTGGGCGGCAGGATATCACAGTGGTAACACTGGTGCCTCACAACAACAAGAGTCTGGGTTTGGTTCCCCTCTCAGCCACTCATAGCAAATTTTCCCACGAGTGTGAAAATTTGGCAAGAGCCTTCTCAAATAATAACACGTGAATACTGATGGAGGTGGAGAGCGCTGCTAAGTAGCCGTGCGTTGCTAACTTTAGACGATGTTTCCGGTCTGCATGTTATTGTGCGTGCTCGTCATTGCTGCTGACTTACCTTCGTAGGTCAATGTAAGGTCACAGGTGTTAGGGAGGGTGTCGCTTGCAATGAGTAGCAAAAGCAGCAATCAGAGTCCACGTCTGCCTTGAGCCTCTCCTTGGTCAGCTCAGCCTAAAGAGTGCGACTGGCATCACAGCCTGCCCCCTGCAAGACACAACCTTCCTGGGTTGCCACTGGGCCCCATAGTGGTGCTGGTGTCATGTTTGTGCATTAGCCTTGTTTGGTGTGATGCTTGTTAGCTGTGCCCGGTGTGACTCCCGGTGAAACTGACCTGTCGGTTGTTCTCGGTGTGACTCGTGGTGAGATTGCCACGTGCCAGTTGTGCTCAGTGTGAAGCTCGAGGTGTGCTTGCTGTGGCTCCCGATGAGTCTGACAATTGTGGATTGTTTCTCGGGGTGACACTTGCCACCGGCGCTCGGTGTCACTCCCAGTGAGATGGACATGTGTCGTTTGTGCTCAGTGTGATTGGGTGCGTTGTCGTTTTGCTTGTGCCAGCGTACACGAATTTTGGTTCCCCCAAATATTTCTTCCCCAGGGTAACAACTTGCACGAGTGACGCTGTGTAAAAAAAAAACATCGATATTATTATATTGGGGGCGCGAAGGGATACTCGGGGGAAGCACGGTGACATTCTGTAACGTAGGTTTTCCCTGGCTGGGGGGTTTTTGCCGCAGCAGCAACAGCAGCGCCGCAATCGGCAGTGACGCGACGGCGCTGTGCTTGCCAGCGGAGCACCGCAGAGACGTCTTCTCGATGGAGAGCTGCGCAGAGACGCACGCGCTCAACTACCTCGTCGAGTGCTTCGACCGCGTCGCCATGGAGGAGAGGGCAGCGCCCAAGGTAGCGCATTGCGACACGCGCCCAGACGCAGCACCAGCCTGTGGCAGTGTGAAAGCCGTTCAATCATAACAAATTGAACATAAACCCGGTGATTGAAGATTCAACACTCGCTACCATTTCACTCCAGTCACTCGCTCCCCAACAATCATAGCCATCAGGCCAAGAAAACTTTCGAAGTTTTCACAAAATCTACAAAATCTTTACAAAAAACAATCTAAAAAAATGACCACACAGCTCTCTGTGCAGCTTTTGTGCAAGATTGGAAAATAATTACTTTCATGAGTTTGTTTTACTTTTTCTTTACATTAAGCTGCGTCCCAGTGTGATGAACGCATGTATTGTAACGTGAGCACAAGGGCGTACTTGTGTGAGCTTAACGCATGTGTGCGCTTCCATGGGCACATTCCACTCTGTGGTCAAATCCCCCCTCATGAAGTTATGGGTCTCTCAATTGACCGCTCCGCCAGCTCGTTGATGAGATTTTCTTTGTGCTGCTGTCCATCGGTGTGCAGATGTGCAGCCTTCCCGAGGTCGGCCGCGTGCTGGGGCAGATCCGCACGCAGTGTGTGGCTCACGCAACGCTCGTGCTGCAGGGGGCGCTGACCCAACCGCGGTAATGCAGAGACGCGCGCACACACACGCGCACGCACACTGCACACATGCACTCAGCCGAAGTTGGAACACTGCTGTCATATACCTGGGGTGGAGCACCCAGTTCCCAACTAACTGCACTCGATATCATTTAACGTAAGTCTGTCAGGGTGATAAATGATCCAGCACTCACCAATTCAATCCAATTACTCACCGGTGGTCAGTCACCTCCTTGTCACTTTTTTATTGCTACTTTTTTCGTTAAATTGTTTTGTCTCATTCATTCTCATGTTCAACTACCACACTGCAGGTCACAATGCTTCTCTTTCTGATTCTTCCCTCGTACTGCTTCACGTTGGAATTCCCTCCCATCATCGTCTCTTTTTCCAAGCTCTTATAACAATCTTGCTCAATTCACAAAATGCATTTAATCTACAACTTTGATTTGTGGTGTTTGTTGGTGGCTGCTTGGCAGTTTGGCCCTTTGAGCCCGTGCTCATCAATTGTAGAACTATTGCAATAATTTCCCCTGCAAAAAATGGTCAGGACCCTCCTGAAAAGGAGTCTTAAGACTCACTGAGGTTTTCATGGGTGATCAGGCTTAACTATAATAATATTAATCTCTTCCTCATCCACACAAACGTTCTCCTGTGGCAAAATGTGACTGGGGCAGATCTGCACTACATCCGTCGCTGCTGGTGCCATACCTGCTGTGCCGGAATTTGCCGGTCGGCTTCATTCAGGAGATGGTGAGGGCCTCCTGCCTGGACCAGGATGCGTTCAGTCAGGTGAGTTGTGGGTGGGGATGTGAGTTGTGGGTGGGGAGGTGAGTTGTGGGTGGGGATGTAGGCATTGAGGAGAACACCTCATGGAGGTTTGTGGCTGCAGGTTGAGGAGACTACAAAATCTATGTCGGGCTTTCCAGGTGATGACGCTTAGCCTCCATACCACAAGTTCTCCTCAATAATTATAATGTCTCCATTTACCTTAAACATTTACAGTCACTCCTTGCTTAACGTTGGGGTTGCGTTCCTGGAAAATTTGACTTAAGTGAAGCAACGTAAAGCGGAACCAATTTTCCCAAAATAAAAAATGGAAATACGGGAGGTTATGTTGCTGTTTTGAGATGTATGCACGAATGAGGCTATATAAAGTATAAAACAGTAATCATAATTATATTGTTCAAACTTGATTTGTGTGTCTATGTTGTGTGTCTCTGTGTTGTCTGTGTTGTCTCTCTCTGCTTGTGTGTCTGTCTGTGTGTCTCCGTGTCTGTGTTTTGTCTCTCTCAAATTTAGTTCTACCTGATGACGGTTGCATGTGTAGCAATCGAAACGTTGTACTCTATTATTTGATTTATTTTCTTTCAACGTGACTTTACCGAAAGAACCAAAGAGTAATTCTATTGTTTTAAAAGAAAGTTGCTGCTGTTGTTGTTATTGGCAGGTGTTCATGCCAGTGGTGCAAGGCCTTGCCCAGGCCTGCTGCGAGTGCTCGCTGGAGAATGACAATTTCAAGTTCCCGCTCATGGTGAGGTCCCTGCAGCCACCCGGCTATATATGTGTATGTATGTTGAGCTTCTTTCGCACCGTACCTCGCCAACCGTGCTAAGCGGAGGTGTGGCCACGAGAGGCGCCGTGTTGTTGTTCGCCTGACGGCGCTCTTGGCAACCACTACTCAAGGACATTGCTCCCTCTTGGAGGGTGCTCTGGGTTGTGTAAGCTGAGGGATCCTCCACGCGTGGTTATTTGGATACCTTGGTGTAATGCTGTGGCACAACATCTTTCGTGAACCCTAAGATTATGCTGCTCGCCTGCTGCAGGCTCGTATATTCATTAGTAGTTATGAATAATGTGCATAATGTTAATCATTGGCCAAAGTAAATAAAAATAAAATTCAAATAAGAAATTGGTAATAGTCAATATTTCTGAGTGGTTGTTCCTCTGAGATCATAACACCTATTTAAGAAGCCGGATCAGGTGACGTGGTTAGTTTGATTTTCTGGATCTTTATATTCTTAGGTTTTTTCGGTAAAGTCACGTAGGTAAAACATCAAAATTAATGAAAATAAAATAAAATAAAACAAAAATCACGACGTTTCGGAGGCAACACAAGTCTCCGTCATCAGGTGGGACCGTCACAGCCGAATTAGCTGCATCAAGTGGGATCTTGTCCTGAAGATGATGCAGTTTCAAGGGAAACATCGTGTCTAATTGCTAAATTTAGGTGGGAGAATTGTTCTTCAACTTACCGGTTGGTGAGCTCATTGGCGTTAAAATAATAATTGGTGAGCGCTGGCTGCGCTGGCGGACGGGGCTGTGTGTTGATTGCTTCTGGCTGCTGTGGGCTGCAGGCACTGGCGGAGCTGTGCGAGGTGAAAGTGGGAAACACTCGCCCCATCTGCTCCTTGGTGGGTCCCTCTCTCCCTCCCGCACCCAACTGTAACGACTGTACTCAGCCTGTTCAGGCGGCCACATGACCCATTGGTAGCATCAATTATTGTAGAGGTTCCCAGTTCAAATCCGGCATACCACCCTGGTTAATACTGCGGCGGGCATGAACCATGCATTGTGGTGCGTAGGTTGCACTGCACGAGCTGTGGCTGCCCGACTCGCTCACTGGTGGGGGCGGCCGCGAGCTGCAGCGTCTCTCCTTCATCGGCTCTGTCTTCTCACTCTCCGCCTTCTCCGAGGACGACGTGAGTCGCGGGGCATTGGCACCCGGAGGTACAGGCTAGGGTGTGGTGCAGGGATGTGGTGCAGGGTGGCGTGTAATGTGTCGGGTGTAATGCAGCGCACGAGAAGAATTGGAGAGTGCAGTGCAATGTGCATCGAGGTGGTGCACTGCATTGTACTAGTGTACAGGAGTGGTAGTGAAGGGTATAGTGCAGTGTACATAGAGGTGGTGTGCCGTGCCGTGAACTATACATTATATGCGAGATGCTGCACGTGCTTCGCTGCACGTGCTTCGCTGTACGCGCTGTGTTCTGTGTTGTTGCACAGCCCAAGGTGGCAGAGAAGTATTTCTCGGGGCCAACACTCACACTGGACAATACGCGCGTTGTCAGCCAGGCCCTGCAGCATCACCTGGAGACGGCGCGGGTGCGGCGTGCACCTCACCACCAGCACACACGCACTTATATATGCATACCACATTTGAAAAAGGACACTGTATATTGGGATTACACATAGCATCATTACCCTCAGTTGCCAGACTAATGCAGAGTCAACATTGTGCCGCACAGGGACAGCTGCCAATGGTGGTGCCCTTTGAATGTTTGAAATGAGATGCGAGGCGATTAAATAATAATAATGGTTTGTTTTCGCAGGAGACGTCTCCAACTGCTTTACATCCAATAAGCAACTTAACCTTGCTATTAAGTTGCTGGGCCATTTCAGCAAGTGCTGTGTAAATAAAAATATTATAATTAAGCTTAGATTGCCAACAAAGAGCACCAACAAAGTGTGCCCCCCGTGCCCTGACGTTGCCTATGCCGTGCTGCTGCCGCTCTGTGGCTGTGCGCAGATGGAGCAGTTCAAGGTGCTGCACAGCATGCTGCTCAATGGAGGCACGCGGGAAGCCACGCTCGCGTACATGGCTGCCGTTGTCAACCGCAACGGCAAGAAGTCACAGCTGCAGGTGCAGAGGCGCCGGTTGACATGAACTATCTTGTGAGGTCCGCTTGAAATCACGGCTTGCCAATGAAAAGGTGTTCACTCAAATCCTGGTCTGGAGTAAACTCGGCCCCTTCCAGCTGAGTCTTAGGGATGACTCAGCTGGGTAGGAATGTGGAATTTCTACCACCGGAGATCAGGGTCACCCATTGTTGTTTGAGCACGAAGCCACCTAGATATTTTAAAATAAAACTTAGCATAGATGGGATGATGGCCACTGGTCAAACCTAATGTAATGGCAGCGATTAGCACAGTTGGGTATGTACGGTGCGAAATAATTTCAACATACGTACAGCGAAAGTACGTCCACCGCTGGGATGGAGTGATGAAATCATTTCGCGTGCAGGTGCTAGTTGGATTGTTGCAGCGCCAAACAGATGAATGCAGCTTGATGAGGCCTTTGTGTAGCAGTGGATAGATTGAGGGTGCGACACGCGAGGTCTCACAGGTCATCTCCCTCGCCCTCCCGCATCCTCGCAGACGGATGACCGCCTGGTGTCGTCCGATGGCTTCATGCTCAACTTCCTGTGGGTGCTGCAGCACCTGGCGGCGCGGATCAAGCTGGAGACTATAGACCCGCTCTACCCATTCCACCCGCGCTGCCGGCTGACACTGGGCCCTGACGAGACGCGGCTGAAGGCGACGCGCGAGGAACTTGCTGTCTGGCTGGAGCGACTGCGTGAGTGGCGGAGCGCCCCGGCCGGCCAGCAGAGAGATCTGTCAACTGCAGCCAGCAGTGTATTTATACTGCTGGCTGCAGCTGCTGCACAGCATGTGCAAATAAAATCCAGTCACTGAAAAAAAAATTGAGCGAATGAAATCTCAAAGAGTGAGCATTGAGGTGGTGCTCATGTCTCTTATCTGTTTACACTGGTGAAATAATCACCCATAATGCATTTCGTTTTTTCTGTCATTTAACTTTACTATGAACTTTTGTTACAAGAGATACATTTAATATTTATGTGTTCATGCACTACTACGATTTCTTATGTAACAAGGTTGTTACCTTCTGATTTCTGTTAGGTTCTCGTAACAGATTTCTCTTCACTTCATTATTATTCTATGGGAACCTGCCTATGCAAACATGACTCCTTGTAAAAAGGTGTCAGTTTTGTTGCCAGATAGAAGGGTAAAAACCAATTTTCATTATTACTGTTTTATTTTATTGGTTTTGTCGTTTTGGGGACCTAGGTCAGTCGTTGTTACAAATGAGACCGTCCTGCTCTCGAATACTCATCTGGTAAATAAAATAACCTGGAGCGTGACGATGGTGCGGGCTCCGCGCTCCCCGTGCCACTGCGTGCCGCGTGCAGGCTCGGAGCCGTGTTGCCAGGCCGACGTCAAGTTCCCCACGGAGTGCTTCTTCCTCACGCTGCACTGCCACCACCTCTCCATTCTCCCTGCGTGCCGACGCTACACACGGCGCCTGCGCGAGATCCGCGATCTCAACCGGTGCGGCGCCGCACGCTTACGGGTGGCGGGGGGCGGCGATAAGGCCCGGAGAGGGGATCGAGCGATCGGTGTGACAACTAAAGTCAGGACGTGCTGAGTCAACTAGGAATGGGCACATGCATTGACTCGTCGGTTCAATTTGTCCCATTGTGCAGTCAGGGTGATTGATGATCCAGCACTTAACAATTCACTCCAGTCGCTTGCGCACATGTGGCCGGTCGCCTCCTTATCACTCTTCCGTCACTAGTACCATGCTTGCTATTCCAGTGAACGTCGCTTGTTAATTCCTCCACCACTGCCGAGGATTCAGTCTACCCGATTCACAGTTTCATCTCATCTACACTGTTTTAGAGCCTTTAATGGAAAGCCAGAGAGTCTGACTGCTGTGTAGGTTTGTGTGGTTTGGGGGGTCGGGTTGTGACATGGCGGTGGCGTTGCTGGCGTGTTGTGATGTAGGAGCCTAGAGGAACTCAAAAGCAAAGAGGAGGAGACACCAAGCACTGGGCGCCACCGCGAGCTGCTCAAACGCTTCAAGGCGCGGCTCAGGGTACAGTCCCCACCGGCACCACCCACCGCTGCTGCCTGTGATGTTATGTTAACCGGCAGCATTTAGCAGGGCCACACTTTTTGTGACGGGACTCAAAGTCGAAACCAGCTGATAGTTTGCTGCTTAAACATATGCTGCTGGAATGCATTGGCGAAGAAGGCTGACAGGCTGATGGAATAAATTGTTGTCCAGTAAAACCTTGGATTGCGAGTAACTTGGCCTGCGAATGTTTTGCAAGACGAGCAAAATTTTTAAAGAAATTTTTACTTGATAAACGAGCGAGGTCTTGCAATACGAGTAGTAAGTATACGCTTTGTCTGCCGATCGTCACGTGCTCACAACTGAGCCGATGGTTCTTCTCTCTCTCTGGCTGCGGGATTGTGGGTAATCGTCTCCCATGCTAGGTCTTAGTCGGAGAAATCCTCCAAAGGAGGCAAAAGCAAGTGTCATTGGATAGGTTCCTTGTTAAAGTCGCACAAAAAGAAAAAGATTCCAGTGAGCCAACAGATAGCAGTGATTCCGTTAGTGACAGTGAAAGTCGTCCTACACAATAACCCTCTTCCTCCTCTCCTCTCTCTCGTCTCCCTCACACCAGCCACGATTAAATGTAATTTGATTACTTTTTTTTTAATTTAAATAATAAAAATTTATAAAGGTATTTTGTATTAATAATTTTTATATGAATATTTTTGGGTTGTGGAACGAATCATCTGAGTTTCCATTATTTCTTATGGGGAAATTTGCTTTGATATACGAGTGCTTTGGATTACAAACACGTTTCCGGAACGAATTATGCTCACAATCCAAGGTTTGACTGTATTTTTATTCATTCTGTCGCATCTGGACAGAGCTTCGACATTTAACTTTTACAAGGGATGCATCAACAACAACAACCTTGCGTAGACATTTAAATTTTCATAATTATCATAATTGAGTTAATTTGGTATTTGTAAGTCTCACTGACAGGAGGTTACGGCACAGATACAGGTGTTATGAGTTAACCGACCAAGATGACTGGCAGATTCACCCACGCTCGCACACGCATGTTCATGCCCAGCGGTCATCATGTGTGCTCGCAGAGGCTGGTTCGTGCGAAGGCATGTGCGGACGTGGTCCTGTTGGACGAGAATCTGCTGCGGCGTTGCCTGCACTTCTATGGCTCCATGGTCTGTCTGCTCTTCCGCATCGTCGACCCCGTCAACCCTAAGTGAGCGCTGTTGTGGCTGGGCTTGTGTCACCGAGCGCGTCGGTTCTTTTCCGCACCACAGGTCGCTAGGTCGCTCCTTCTCCTATACTGCACCTGTGGCCTGGCACGGTCCCCTTATTGTTGTTCATAGATTGCTGCTCGTATCTAAATCCGTTGCTTCTCTGTTGTGCATACTGAATTAGAATTACCGTTTTCCTTCATTGTCTATTAAAAATAAACTCAGGGATTTCCTGCTCAATTAAGATTTGAGGCGGTGCTCATTTCCCATGTACAGCCTTAAAACGCCAGTGAAGGATATTCCACATTCCAATTATGGGGGAGAGTTTATCCATAAGACAACCACTTTTGATTTTCCTGCAAAGTGGTACCATGTGGCGATAGCTCTTTCCGAGCTCTCTCTGAGCTTACATTTACAAGCAAATTTCTTACATTGACACGCTAATCTCTTACATTTACAAGCAAATTTCTTACATTGACATGCTAATCTCTCACAATACAATGGCCACCCCCACAGCTTCGTTTGTCAAGATTTACCCGATCTTACATTTACATGCAAATTTCATGTCTAGCCCCTCCCACTGACCCTTGGGCTATACCCATCCCAAACCTTTATAACTCCTTGCGCTCCCACCATATATTTTTTGCGCTCCCACCATATATTCTCAGCAGCTCTCCCGCGATATTTCTCACCTGATGACGATTGCTTGTGTTGCGATCGGAGGCTCGCTTGCTGTGCTGGCTTGTTTAACACCAACTCTCAGTGTGAAGAGATGCTGAGTGATGCTGCTGTGGTGTCCACCGCAGGCCCCTGCTGCCGCTGAACCCCGAGATTCCAGAGGCATTCTCAGCTTTGCCAGAGTTCTACATCGAAGACATCGCCGAGTTCCTGCTCTTCATTATCCAGTGAGCCTCCTTTAGGGGCCCCACCTCTCCCAACTATAGATCAGATTCCTCAGTCAGCATAGGTCTGTCAAACCTGTACAATCTGCTGTAATAAGATTCAACACAATACTGATACCAGATATCGGTACGAATTAATTCCTGCCACCTGAACACAGATGCCAATTCCTGGACTGTCTGGGTCAAACCCAGATAAGTGGCAACTCATATGGGTAAGTGAGTGGATGAGTTGCTGAATGAGTGAATGGGTGGGTGATTTTTTTTAACCTTTATGTAAGTGAATGAATGAATGAGTGAATTGGTGAGTGTGTGAGTATGTGAGTGATAGGGTTTCTAATTTTTCCACAGATAAAATCCAGATAGATTTCTCAGTCAGCCTAAGTCTATGAAATCTGTGCAGTCTACTGCAAAATAAACACGTATGTCTGTGTTAGGGTTAAAAACCACCCTTATTTAACATAATGATACACTTTTTAACAGTCCTTCATATCATAATTCTGACTTCCAGGATGCTGTCCTGAAGTAGCTTGGAGGAGTATCAAGCAGAATGTTATCTATATTATTGGTTCTTTCGGTAAAGTCACGTAAATAGAAAATAAAAATACAATAAAAATAAAAACTTTCTAAAAATAAAAGCAAAAAACCCACGACGTTTTGATCGCAACACAAGCGGTCTTCATCAGGCAGAAAGATAAGAGGGGGCAAGCCTCCAAATGCAACTGCTTATAAGGGCTTCCAATGTTGTGAGTGGGCAGGGGACGAGAGTTGCGAGGCAGCAGCAAGGAAAGCTGTGCGGCGTAAACAGCATGGGTGGGGCAGCCAGTGCTAATGTCGGAGTAAAGCGCGAGAAGTAGGAGTTAAGCGCAAGATAGAGGTGGAGCTGAAGGCGAGGGGCGCAGTCCAAGTATGTTAGACAATGGGGAGAGGGAAGGGGTAGAAGATCCAATCAAAACCACCACCTTGCCTTACATAGCAGGGATAACCAAAAAGATTTCCAAAATCTTAAACAAACACAAGATCCAGGTCCGATTTAACACAGTGCATAAAATTTGTGATCTGATCCCATCTGTGAAGGACAAGATTCCTGACATGCAATATCCCGGCATCTACAAACTCAGCTGTATCTGCGGCAGCAGTTACATTGTGGAAACTAAGCGACATGTCTCGGACCGTGTTCGTGAACATAAGGCAGATATGAAACAAGGCAGGACCAATACTTCTGCCGTGGCTGATCATTACTGTAATGATGCTGGCTCACATGAAATAGATTTCTCTAAGACGATGGTACTTTGCAAGCCGATTGGCTATCAACAAAAATTTGTTCACGAAGCCATCCATATATACAGACAAAGACACAATTTCAAATGAGACGACGGTTTTAAACTCCGCAATCATTGGGAAGATGTCATTAACCACTGGGTCATGACTTGATTTGTGTTTTCTTGTCAACCTCTACCGTCATCTGTGTGGATGTGTGTAGTGAGGTGCAATGCCTTCCCCATCTCTACCCCCCTCTCTCTCCCCCTATCTCTACCCCCCCCCCCCTCTCTCTCCCCCCCTCTCTCTCCCCCCCTCTATCTCCCCCCCTCTCTCTCCCCTCTCTCTACCCCCTTCCCCCATTGTCTAACACACTTGGCCTGTGCCCCTCGCCTTCAGCTCCACCTCTATCTCGCGCTTAACTCCTACTTCTCGCGCTTTACTCCGACATTAGCACTGGCTGCTCTGCCCATGCTGTTTACGCCGCACAGCTTTCCTTGCTGCTGCCTCGCAACTCTAGGCCCCCGCCCGCTCACTTTGGAAGCCCTTATTATATAAGCAGTTGCATTTGGAGGCTTGCCCCCTCTTTTCTCTCCGCCTGATGAAGACCGCTTGTGTTGCGATCAAAACGTCGTGGGTTTTTTCTTTTTTTTCTATCTACGTGACTACTGAATGAACCAAGAATATGAATTTCTGCAGTCACGACGTTTTAAGTCAGAATGTTTTCTAATTGCTAAGTTTGTGAGTTGGTGCGTTAAATGCTTGTACACGCAACTATTTCTTTTTTCTGTATCGGGTGCTGGAAGGTCTTATGACGTATATTTGGCCAGATCGTTACATGGTCTAATACAAAAATCAATGATGAATCAACACACTTACACTTACCCAGGTTCATGTCACAGAAGCAGATAAAGAATCTCATGGGACTTTCATCTGAGTTACGATGGTTTTCCTTGTGTTTCTCTTGCACCGTGTGTGGCGCAGGTACAGCCCGCAGGTGCTGCAGAGCGAGCCGTGCGGGCCCGACCTCGCCACCTTCCTGCTGGTGTTCGTGTGCAGCCACACATACCTGCGCAACCCGTACCTACTCGCCAAACTGGTGGAGGTGCTGTTCGTGCTGAACCCCAGTGTGCAGCCACGCACCGCGCGCTTCCACGAGATGCTGGAGAACCACCAACTGGGTACGCGCCACCTGGCGCCATCGCTCATGAAGTTCTACACAGGTGAGCAGGAGGAGGGAGGAGGAGGAGACGGCGGTGGCGGCGACAGCTGTTTTGGGCTCTCGGCAATCCCCCGCATGCAATCAAGACCACACATCAGTATTAGGTTGAGAGTTGTGCAGTGTTGACACTGGTGCCTAACAGCAAGAAGTGCCTGGGTTTGATTCCTGACTTGAGTGCCTTTATGGAGTTTGTTCTACTCCTGTTCTGCATGGGTTTCCTCCAGGTTCTCTGGTTTCCTCCCATCGATAACTGGTATTGGCCATATGTCCCAATTCAGAAAAATTGGGATTATACACAGCGACATTACCTTATATTGCGGAAACTTGGCATGACCCTCACGAGAAAGAGCATTTCCTAAGTAAAAAAGTGCAATAATAATCATCAGTAGTGTATTAGTGGAGAATATAAGAAAACAAAAAGAAGCATGGTCTGCTCCATGGGAGGGGGGCGAGGGGCATTGTCTGCTCATGTATTTTACTGCGTTCAATCCATTGCTCAATGATTAGCGGCAGTGACATAATCCAGCAGTCGTGCATACGCCGCTTGTTTCAGAGGTTTGCAATTCGAATCCAGCAAGCCGCCCTGGTTAATACTGCAGTTGTTTTAAATCTTTCACTTCACATACATGCACAACATCTGCAACTGTTAAAGCTAGAGTACACTGTACATGAACCAGCGGTGTGCACCATTGAAATCATTTGAATGTATGTGTTTGACTGGATGTGATATGAATTACATTCATGCAAACTGTATCAATTATTGATTTTAAATGTATACATGTGAGCGCAGACGTGGAGCAAACAGGCGCCAGCAGCGAGTTCTATGACAAGTTCACCATCCGCTACCACATCAGCGCCATCTTCAAGAGCCTGTGGAGCAATCCGGCACACCAGGCCACCTTCCTGGAGGAGTTCAAGTACGTACGCCCTGTTTGGGTGGCCGAGTGGCCTCGTATTCAATGTGGCAATGACTGCTCAATCGGCCTGATTGGCTCACCGAGTCAGACTAAGGATATTGCGATTCCATGAGTATGGAACAGGAGGGCTGCTGATTGGCAAGTGCCACAGTCAATTATTAATGAAAATGACAATTCTCCCATGACTAAATGCAATACAAATGAACCTTATGGCGGGACCCCGGGGTTCCAAATAAACGGAAGTCAAAATCGCAATTAATTAATAATTTTTTGGCGACTCCGTCCCACCGCGCACATAAACGCCGCGACCCACCCGGCACATATCATTCTGTTGTCATGTCGTCCAAGTGCAGCGAGGACGAATGCGCAGAAGAAACAAAACTTTTAAACTTTGATTAGCGCATCGTGCAGAGCTCGTCGAGGGGAATAGATTGCCGCATCGTTCACCTTCAACGGACATAAAATGACGTCGCAATGCAGTTTTTGCGAGAGCCGGCTCTCGCAAAAAGGGAATGCAAAAGGGCAATCATCCAGACTGTACTCCTAGAATGGATGCGACTACAAGATGTTTGTAAACTCCACTTCTTCATTCCAATTCAGTTGCTACACACTACATGACCCTGATGATTAGTAAATGCAAATACCCTCATCATCGTGGGCTGCAAAATCTGGCGTTTTGGAAGCCCTGGTCAGGTTAAAGGGGACCTGCACACGTGCAAGAGTATCTGCACTAATGAAAATCGATTCTTACACTCACGATATGCGCATTGAATTGTTTGGAAATTAGAACATTCATAATAAACAGTTGTAAATTAGATGGCATTGTACATGTTTAAGAAGATCAGCAGGTTCCTGTTCAAATGAGCATTGAGGCAATGCTCATCTCCTGTTTACAGCCCAGAACCAATGGTGGAAATTCCTCATTCCTATGGTAGGAGCGATTTAATTTATAGAACTCGTTGAATTCTCCAAAAGTGGTCCCAATTTTATCTACCTCAGAGGGATGATGAACCGAGCCAAACCTCAACCTGGATTTGAACTCGTGACCTTCCGAGTTTGAACCACTCGCTCTACTGCTTAGCCATTTAGCTGAACATTAGGCGATTATAAAGTCTTGTACATTATGCTTTAAAAAAATACAAGACTGATTACACAAAACAGTTACTACCAACAAGATGGTACTGATGAGACCAAAATTAATAATCCCCTTGGCACGCATCGCCTTATAGCGCCGCCCTGGCACTTCAACCCGTCACATCTCACCCACATGCGTCACTTTGCTCCATCACGTTGCGCCCATGCATGAGCCAGTGCTGTTTTCACTGGCAGCTCGGGGAGTCAGTTTGTGCGCTTCATCAACATGCTGATCAACGACACAACGTTCCTGCTGGACGAGAGCCTGGACTCTCTCAAGAGGATCCACGAGCTGCAGGAGGAGATGCGCAACAAGGAGGCGTGGGATCGCCTCTCCCAGGTGCCATTCACCTCCCTTCACTCAACTTCATCTCCCTCATCGCTCTTATCTCTTCTTTCCTTTATGCACTCTCTTCTCTCTTCTGTCTCCTCTCTGTACTCTGTTATGACATCTATTTTATGGGTTTGTGTTGAACTTGGACCCATATATAACAGAGAGAGTCCTTGGCAGTTCCCCAGCATTGGTTTGGTACATGCAAATATTACTCTGCTGATGAGACCCTGAATGTTGTATCCGGTCCAGAGTTTGCTTGTGGTGAACCAATGCTGCTGAAATTCTGCACTCTTGAGAAAGCTGAGTGGCTGATGGGATGTGTAAAAATATACTTTTATGTGAAGGGACAGATTTGGAAGGAGGACAGTGATCTGCTGTTTCTCTTCTTTTGTGTGGCATGACAAAAAAGCAGCAGGCTACAATTGTATTGTTAATGTTGTAATCCATTCCATGGCATCCGGGGTGGTAGCTGAGTGGAGTTGGCTCGTTCCTCCAGAATATGAATGTTACTGGGCAGTCATCAGTGATATATACCTGATGGTTTACACCTCACTGCATTTGCAATTTGGTGAGTCATGGCTCTTCCATTTCTGGAGGATATATCGCAACATCATCTTCCACGTGTTGTTGGGACTCGGTTGGGAGCGGTCGTTGTGGCAGAAGAGAGAGACCAGGGCTGTTCCATTGTCGGGTCTGAAATAAGGTTCTTGTTTGGGACACCACTGTTTCCCCATTTCCCCACGTCTCACACCGTTGGGTGGCGAGGTCGTTTTCGGCTGACAGAAGAGTTTAGGCACGCGTCAAAAATTGGATGTCTCAATTTCAGACAAGAAGGTGGTGGGGATTTTATTTCGATATGCAGAGGGAGATCTGGATTTTCCAAAATATGCTCATACTCTCTAAGTGTTGCAACAGCATCCTGTTGGATGTTTGCGAGTACTGGCAGCCACTGCAGCAGCGTAGGTTTTATGATGCCGCTCACGGCACAAAGCACAGCTTTGATTCGAGTCAGCGAGCCCAGTGTGAGAGTTGCTGTACCAGACAGGTGCAGCACAGTATTCTGCCATAGAAAAAGGACCAGGGCTTACGTTTATATATGAAGGGTCCCAGCGTCACATCCCCAAGTAGCCCCTGGAAAGTTTTGGATGATACTGCTCTTTGATTACGACGTTTCAGGTGCAACACAAGCGTCCATCATCAGGTGGGAAAGCTCTTTGATTGTTTCTTATATTTTCCACAGTGACACTCACGATTGATTTAGGAGCAGCACGCATGCACACCGGCGCAGTGTGGTAGGGGCCATGCCACTTAATCTCGGCAACTCGGCTGCTATGGAGCCATTTCCCTTTTCGGTTGATTGTTGCGTCCTCTCGGTGACTAAGCGACGCCCCCGCTGTGACCTGTCCGTGCACAACCTCGCAGGAGCAGCAGCAGAGCCGGGCGTCTCAGATGAGCCAGGACGAGAGGCAGTGTCGCTCCTACCTCACGCTCGCCATGGAGACCCTCGACATGTTCCACTACCTCACCAAGCAGGTCCAGAAGCCCTTCATGCGGCCCGTGAGTCCACTGACACTCGATCATCACTCGCTAGCTTGCTCGTTCGTTCTGTCTCCTCATTCCTTAGATTTGAGGTTTCCGCATGTTTGATTAAATTCGCATGTCACCTGTATTCTCGGACACGACTGTGCACGTGGCTTCATCACCAGTGGTTGCTTAAGTCGTCGCCCTCTCCACCCAGTCTCTGTAGACTACAAAGTCAAATGATGAATCAGAGGTGGGAATGTAACAGGATGGGAAATGTCACCCAGTGAGTGCAGATTTAAGCTCACAGATTGCGACTGTACACACCGGGAGCACCAGCAGTCCAGCTCATTAATCCTGATCTGGCATCAGATTCACCTGACATACATCAGGCTTCTTCAGGCCGAGTGGGGCTCTTCATTCCTAAATGGAACATCAAGTCTAATTTGCTTGTAAATAGTCTTTTTTTACATACACGTTTTTATATGTCTATTGTGGGTGTAAACATCTAATTTAATTGTGTTACATTCGTGTCATTATTATACTTGTTTACCCAGGAAAGCCTTACTTTGTTTCAAGATTATTTTTCAGGAGGGTCCTGTTACGTTTTCGCAGGAGGGAGAGATGTTGGTTTGAGTTATCCAAGGTTATTTTAAAGTTGTAAAATATTGGTCCATGACGCTCGGCACACAACGGCCTATGCTTCTTTGAATGACACCACGGGATCTTTAACATCCACTGTGAAACCGATTGCACGTAGTATTTTACAGTTAATACACCCGCAGAACGAGGGTGGCCTGACGGATTTGGATCGTGAATCTCTGCAACAAGCAGTGAAAGCGTTGCTGCGGAGCCACGGCACCGCCAGTGCGACGGACTTGCGTACGAAGCCTTTCAGTGTCTCCTCCTCCTGCCATCGTGCCCTTGTCTTCTTTTTGTTTGACAGGAGCTGTCTGATCGCTTGGCGGCCATGCTGAACTTCAACCTGCAGCAGCTGTGCGGGCCCAAGTGCCGGGACCTGAAGGTGGAGAGCCCTGAGAAATACGGCTTCGAGCCGCGCCGCCTGCTCGACCAGCTCACCGACATCTACCTGCACCTCGATTCGCCCGAGTTTGCGCATGCAATTGCCAATGACGAGGTGCCATCTCCAACATCATTATCATCATGAGCATCATCATCATAACCATGCTATTGCAATGACGAGGTACCATCTCCAACATCATTATCATCATGAGCATCATAACTATGCCATCGCAATGACGAGATGTCATCTTCAACATCAACACCACCGGAAGTGCTATCATCATAATCATCATCATCATCACCACTGATATTACATGTATACAGTATGCATTTATACAAAGATCACCTCCCCAGCTAAAGACAAACAATTCATTTGCATACATGACCGGTTTGTATATAATGTGCTGTAGCTGTAACAGTTGCAGATGTTGTACGAGTAATTTCTTGATTGCAGATTTAACTAAGTTTAGACTGGCGGCACGATTCAGTTTGAGATTCGTCCACGCCGAAGCAGCTTTGTGTCTGAGCGAGACTGCATGTTTGGGTTTTAACTCTTGGGATACTTAAACTGTCATGATTTTGGAAATGTTGGAGCAAAAAAATAATTGAGTTCATAAAGCGGGGTGGGCATTCAATTGTTTTTTTCACTGTACCTGCCGCGGCTAGCGCTCGTACCGAAAGGAGCTGTTTGAGGATGCCGTGGGTAAGATGAAGAAGGCCGGCATCAAGACGGCAATCGCCGTGGAGCGCTTCCGCCTGCTGGCGGAGCGAGTGGACGAGATGGTGCAGCACAACGTGCAGGCCGACCACGACTACAGCGATGCGCCCGAGGAGTTCCGCGGTGAGCGCCATTTCGCCTCGTGCCCAAACGCCAAGGCCACATGGGATGGGATTTTCTGCCTGTCACTGAGATAGGGATTTATAATGTTTCCCCACGGGGAAACATTGATCTAAAAACCCATTGGCTGATTATTTTTTGTTTATTATCATTTCGCTAGTTTTTCCCAGGAAAGCCTTGCCGAGTCTCAAGACTCTTCTTAGGAGGGGTCCTGCCGTGTCTCAGTGAAGCCGTGTGCATCTTGGTAAAGCTGTATGGATCTGGGCGACGCTGTGCATGCGTGCGCCCTGCACAGACCCGCTCATGGACACGCTGATGAGGGACCCTGTGCGCTTGCCGAGTGGCAAGGTGATGGACCGCAGCATCATCATCCGGCACCTGCTCAACGCGCACACCGACCCTTTCAACCGGCAGCCACTCGACGAGACCATGCTGGTGCCAGGTGAGCACCGGCAATGCCGCCGCCGCCTTGGCGTTGTCTGTGTGAACCGCTTGCGTTCCGTGCTGATGCTTGCGATCCAACTCGGTGGAGGCAGGGTTCGTGGGTCACGTAGATGTCTCGTGCAGTGAAACTCCCAGCCTGCTGGACTGATGAAACACTGAATGTCGAAACCGGTCCAGAGTTTTCTTGAATTCATTCAATGCTGCTGAAAATATGCACTCCCAGAAGGAGGCGTACGGTCTGATTATTTTTGTTACCAGCAGACAAGTGGGAAGGCAGTCACAACCGGCACAAAAGATTTCCCAAGCTCTTCGGTCCTCTGTTGGGAAGTTTAGCCAACTGTTAACGAGTGTTTTTACATGTGGGAGGAACTGGCAGTACCTGAAGAAAATCCACAGGTACGAGGGGGGTAACACTCAATCCAGATGAAAATTTGTCTAGTTGCAGCACTGTCATGCAATGGAAAACTAGGTGCGTTTCTTCAGCAATTGCTGATGGTTTTTTGCACAATGTACACGTTTGTGTTATTTTAAACTTAAGCTAGGAGATTGTGACCTGGACATCCACAGGTAAGGGAGCTTCATACATTTGTGTGATCCAGAGTGGTACTCATTGTAACTAGCCAATAGAAAGGTCTGTGTCGATTCCCAACCAGGATTTGTACTTGTGATGTTCTGCAAGCATAAGTTACATTTTTTTAGGATTAAAATGTATTGTGTTTAACCAGGTGAGGACTAAAGAGACCAGGATGAGTGATTTGCAAGTGCCCTGGGTAATCCAAGAGATGATTATTCTCGTCATATTTTTGAGGCGCTTATTTCTTCTTCCCGTGCAATCCAGAAACGGAGTTGAAGGAGAGGATCCAAGCGTGGATGCGAGAGAAGCACAGGAAGTGACGCACACCAAACCACGACGCTCACAGGAAGCGTGACCCCGTGAACCAGGAAGGGAAGGAAGGCTCCTTCAGTTGTACACCACGCTGTGTCGTTTGCTTAAAGAGAAAAAGGCAAAATACCCAACACGACGATGAAAAGGAAAAAACTGAGATCGCATTTCACCTGAAGTCGGACGACAGAACCGCGCTTTTCCAGCATCAGGCACCAATGGTGCTGCTGCGTCGCAAAGCTGCTCCGCACGCGCGAGGGACATACGTTGGCGTCGGCCATTTTCCTCCCTCAAATCTCGTGCCGGCGGCCGCCTTTAACTCCCATCGCGCCTCCCCCCTCCCCCACACTCCCCTGTCCTCCATTGTGCAGTCTGAAAGCCGGGTTGCACTGTGAACTAAAGGTTGTGGAGTGAAAGTGAACGGCTGGGCGTGCGCTAGCGGAGCCATTGCACGCACCGTTTTGTCGTGGGGGGCGGCCAGGGTGCAGACAGCCAAACGCCTCCCCTCCCTGCGCCGCCTCAAGTATTAGATACATCACTTCCCAGGTCAGTGCTTCAGGATAGTCCCTAATCCTCCTTGCTCCCCTGTGTACCCCTCCCCTTGCCGCAGCGCTTCCGAGTGCAGGCAACTGTTGAAGAACTCTGTAGTTAGAGATCACGTTTGAATTAGAATATCTTTGTATTTCTTCCGTTAGAGATCATTAAAAATTTGATACTTAATTGTATAAAGAGCATGTTGGCAACAGAGGCAAGACTTATTTATTAAGCGCCAACCCAACAGGACAATTCCACTCGCAAGAGTGGAAAACGAAGGTAGACATGTGGAAACTTTTCTCTTATCACCATTACAATTTTTTTTATTATCAAGATAAAAAAAAACTGAATTTATTCATAATAATATAAAGCACATGTAATAAGTTTTCAAAGTCAAACCATATACAGTTGAACCCTGCCATTTGCTACACATGTCAATCAGATGTAATGAATGATCCAACCAGAAATGATACAAATATACATTTTCACAAAATGTACAATCTGTTCTATGTTGCATTTTACAAGCTTATAAAAACATTTATTTCTCAATGCTGATCATACTTTGAGGACTGGTCCCATCATAGAAATTTGGATTTTCCCTATCTAGCTCAAAGCCACAAAGAGATGAGCACCTCCCTATGTGAGCTTGAGTAGGCACACGTTTTAACCTTGGGGGGCAGGGTGGTTCAGTGGTAACACTCATTCCTTACAGCAAAAAAGGGCCTGGGTTTCATTCCCGACTCGGGTGCCTTATTGTGTGGAATTTGTATGTTCTCTCCCTGTTATGCATGGTTTTACGCTGGATTCTCTGGTTTCCTTCCATTTCTTAAAAGCCACACAGTGTTACTGGTATTTGGCAAACATCCCAAAACTGAAAATTACTTGAAAATTACTCAAATGAGGGGACACAGCAAAATCAACACCGTCAAAAATCTGGGCAAGACCCTCCTGAAAAAGTCCTGAGACTTGGTGAGACTCTCCTGGGCAAACAGGCATAATAATAGCCATGATGGCCTCATTTAGGGTAAATCTTACAGCATGCCTCAGAATACTAGAAAGCATGAAACAACGTTTTTTTTTTACTCGTGAAATATCAATTAGAATCAGAACAATAATTTGTGTATACAAATATGCAACTGCTTTCTTTAGCAGACTATCGGCACAAAATACTGGATAAAACAGGAAAAATTTTACCATAAAAAACTACCAAGAATGAAATTCTGAATCTAATTGCGACAGTTTATCGAATCACAGGGCAGCAAATTGTCACCTGCCTCCTATGAAGATGGCTCGGCAGTAGAGCGAGCGGCTCGCAATCAGGAGGTTGCAAATTCAAATCCTGGTTAGGGATTGACTCAGGCCATCATCCCTCTGGGGTATAAAAAATTTGTTCCACTTGGATATCCAATCAATAGACTTGCACAATCACGGGAATGTAGCATTTTCACCGTTGGCTCGGGATTGTAAACAGATGAGCTCTGCTTTGGTGCTCATTAGAGTAGGAACTCTCTTGACTTTTAACTGTAAACCTGGCCCCCCACATGTTGGACACACACGACCACACTTTAGCAAGAATTCTCCAAGCGACGTGAGCAGCTGTGATCCGTGTGGCATGGTTAGTAAGGCCTTTTGTTGAGCAGCAGACTGAGCACCACGACCACCTCCAGCACGGCCGGTGGCACACTGTGGGGGGAGACCAAACACAACAATTGAAGCTGCTTCTTCGCCTTATAGACCTAAGTGACAAGTGCTATCAGCCAATGGTTCTCTGCTGAGCTACCTCCGTCTGCACATTGCTGTTTAAACACCAAATGCTAATTTAATGCCGAGACCTCGGGAAAAGCTCGGCATCTTTTACCGAGTGTTGTTATTTTGGTCAGTTAAATATAATTTGCTTGTACATACCATCAGGTATTCACATTTTGAAAGGTGTACGTATACAGAAACTGATATTCAAATGTTTTCTAAGAATGCAATTGGATGGTGCAATGGTTTACTAACATAACCTTGATTTTCCCAACCACAAGTAAAAAAAAATCCACTGAGCTTTAAACTTCAAACTATTTTTATGTTATCTGGTACCGCCACAGATTTACAGCCCTTTTTCAGAACCAACCTGGCTACAAATGATAGCTCAACGAAGTTGCTTATGTGGAAATTTATAGCAGCCAAATACTCTAAACGCAAGTTTATAAATGAAGGGATAACCCGGAGGATCCGGATAAAAATCCACGCGACCAAATATACAGGCGTCAGGGTCAGGATCGAACCCACACGTGTACACCAGGCGAGGTAGTTAATGAGGTAGCAGATAAGATGCACTTGAGACCAGCATTGTCTTTCAAGGAAGACTTGGGGAAAATATTTATTTTTGAACAGGCACAGACGAATTTCCCAAACTGTCAAGAGGCCAGGAACAAACAGCACTATCCAAGTTGTCATAGATGAGAGTTGTTGGTACATTGCTTTAATTGAAAAATGTCATTACTGGTTGAACAAAAAAGGTAGCGTGGTGAGTGGTTGAGTGATATAGTGGTGAGTGAGTGTTGTGACCTGCAGTAGTGTGGTGGTTAAATACAGTATGGATGAGGTAAAGCAGTCTAGTTGAGTCCTCAACGCTTTACTCAGTGACGCTGCTTGGAACAGTGACCATTATTGTAAAACAGGACAAGACAGCACTTGAAAATTGCTGAATGGGCCTGCACTCTGCGTTCTCTATTCTTGTTAAATGTGAGATGCGTTTACCTGCAGAAACCCAGGAGCCACCAGGCGGCGTCGCAGGCCAGGTAGTCGAACAGGTAGAACGCCATCGTGATGCCGGCGCTGCTGTGACAACCGATGGCTGGTCGCGACGCTGGTCAAGGGGATTTTGCCTGCTTCCATTGCATATTTTTCTGTTATCCACATTATTAAGAAGCAACATGTGCAAACAGAAGCACCAATACTAGAAAATATGCAATTGCATTATATTTCCCTATTGGATGACTTGGAAATAAGCTCGGCCTTGCAATATTTTGGAAACAATTTGCTAATGCAAATCGAAGTGTTCTTGCAGACCAATTTTATGTAAATAGGTCACATTAAACGAACCATGTCACTTTGTGGAATTTTTGAATTGCCAATTTGCTTCGATATGACAATGAAAATGTAGCCATTGCTCAGCTCAACTTTAATGAAATGGGAGGTAATGGTGTTCATCACCGATAGAACGATTGCAGCTTCTCAGCCTCTCAGAAGACGACGACCCACATTAAAGGATTCCTTCGATCCACATGTACAAATTAAGCATGCCGACGACCCTCTTGAAAGCCACTACAAATTACACAAATTAACATTGTCGAGGTTCAATGTCACACATGGGTGTCCAGGGAGGATCACTGTAAAAGGGTCACATGACGCCTAACCTCCCTTACACTGACATGCACATAAGCACATGTATGTTTCAGACAGGTGCACTCGGAAATGACAATCGTGTAGAGAGTCCATCGGTATAGCCACGACAAAGTGAAAGCAATGGCGAGTTCGTGGTACCAATGGAATTGGCCTTTGACCTCCAAATACGAAGTGTCTCCCTGCTCAAATGAGCATGGTAGTAATGTTCATCACCATTTGGGTTCCTTAGCCAGTGGAGAAAATTATATATTCCTATGGAAGGGGCTAATCTGCCAATGATGGCCACTACTGACATTCAGCAAAGTGGTATTTTACTGAATCTCGTGAGTGATTGGCCAAGCCAACGCTGGACTAGAATTTCAACACAACCTTCCATACTTCCCACTCAGCTACATAACAACTTACTTAGTGCAGGAGCATCTTAAAGCAATCTACTAATATAAAATAACTATGGTAGAATTTAGACGTTCATGGAGCGCAGTTAAAGCTTGGTGGATTGCGTCACGCCCTTTGGTCAATGTCTCTGCCAAGGAGTATGATCACGATGTCAGTATTAAATTACCTTGGCTAACATGCAACACCCTCGATTTTTAGTTTACGAACAAAGCGACATAAATTAGCCTCTTTAGGAGGGTTCTGCAATGAGATGTTTGGTTAATTAAATTGTAATGAGTGTTTTGCATGCAGGAGGAAGCCAAAAAACCCATGACTATAAAGAGGTAACACTCAGATCTGCACAAATGGGTTCAAAAACCTTGCACTCAAAAATCTTGGTCACCTCAGCCCAACAGATTTGTGATCATCAGAGATCAGTGCGATCTATCAGCCTTTAAAGCTATGGAGGACCACGTCTGGATGAATAATAAGAATCTGGTGAAAGTAAGAAGGCGGTGGTGCAGGTGCTGGAAGCGTGTGGATACAGAGGAGGCTCTGGGAGCTGCTGTGCACGGACATCCCAGTGATGAAGCCAATCAACTCCACCCCCAGTGCAGCCAATGTGAGCGCCAGCGGTATCACCACCCTGCCAACCAGTGCAGACGCATGCACAACTTACAACCAGTTAAACCACCATGTCAGATAACACTGGTGAAATAAAATAATTCTAAAAGACGACGTTGATAATCTTGAGAAACCATGATAACCCATTGAGATTGTTTTTTTTACAAAGGAGACCTGGACAAAACAAAAGGGAATCAATTCCATCGGTATAAAGCATATACTGTATAGCACATTCAAAACAGGATCTCAATTACAGCTATGAAAGTGAGTAACCACCATGAAGTGCATGAATCTTCAATTTTCCAGTTGAACTACAAATGCTTCGACCGCAATTTTTTTTTACAAAAAGTATATTGTCAATTGTGTATTGTCAATTACGATTTATTGTCTGAACATGTTAATTGTATTATCTAATATTAGACTTTCCAACTAAGCTTAAACGCATTAATGCATTAGCTCTGTCCAAATGCTTGTAACATGGGGTCATGCATCTGAAAGATGATCCAATATAAATGAATATTTTAATGTAAAATTATTGCTATTCAGGGGTTATTTTACAGAAAACTGGGAAAATGTATAAATGAATTGGAGATTAAAAAGTAAACCTTAAATGGGAATACTTTTCCCACGGAGATGTCACACTACACATGATGACATTATTGCATGTTATATCTCGTTATCTCAAAATCTAACATCAGCCGCCATAATACACAGCTCGATGAAGGCCTCCACAAGCCACAATTGTTGCTCAAGTCCAGCAATGAAAGAAAATCCACCTCGCATCTGCACACGCGCTGATTTAATTGCTCCACCCCACGGTGTCTGTCCTCTTGGGCGTGTTTGCCCCCATGGCTCCCACCCATCGTCCTGACGTGTTCTGGCCAAGCCCACTTTGTTCAAGTTTGGATTATGTCAAACCTGTATGTTTTCTTACCTAGGTGTTCATGATTTTGTCTCAATCTAACTCCAAGCTTACCATGTTTGACATTTTTCAGTTTACTTTCCAGTTTCTTCAGCAATGTCCATGTTTATGAACATGTCGGAACAGGTAGTACGGAATCATATTTTTTTATACTTCTTATAAATGCATGTTGGAGAGCGCTACAAATTCCATGCCTATACACGTTTTGTCTTGTATTTTAAATAGGTTTTTATTTTTTTCAATTGTTTAATTCTACATTGTTTTGTTTACAAATTAGAATTTGCTGCTTTGCTGTATTAAATAAACCCACTTCTCCCTTTAAAGAGAGACTGTGACCTGTGACCTCTGGCTTGGCTATCAACAAAGGTCATCTGTCTGTCTACAACGGATAAAGCAGGGTGGTGCAGTGGCAACACTTGTGCCTCAGTAAGAAGGGTCTGGTATTGATGTTCGACTCGGATGCCTTTCCACCAGGTTCTCCAGTGTCTTCCCATAGCTTTGGGTGAAATGTGCAGAAGTGAGAGCTCTGAGTCACACCCATCCTTACTCATTCGTTGGCGTCTGGTTTTCTGTGATACGCGGCACTGGAATACAGGCGATCAGGTTTTCTTCCTGAAACAAATGTGAAAAGGAGCAAAGTTAAGCTATGAGAGAGTGGGTAACCAATGTGGTTAAATAACGTAATTCTCATTCACAAACTCAAGACCTTGTTAATAACACCGACTTAAAAGGGGGAAAAAATATAGCAGGCAACGTTTTGGAAAATGGGCCTTCATAGCACACCAGAATGGCCATTGTCCACATTTTCACCTCGTTTTCCTTTTAAGATAGTGTTACTGACAAATGTGTCGAGTTTTTGTGCTTGTGCACCACTCCCAACGCAGCATCACCAAATCATGTGTTTGGTTCACATATTCGTATATCTTATCTTTTTGCCGTATTGTTGGTAAACATTTTCCAAGATGTATGTTTGACGGCATGTATTGAGAATAAAACGGGATGGGGAGATGTTCGGTGAAGTGAGTTCGGGCCGTGCAGATCTAAGACCAGAGGAAGCGGGGTGCGAGTTCAACCAACCCCAGGACTTGCGAGGCCAGACAAGTGGAAGGGAGGAAATAAACATGGATGGATGATGCTGCAGAAATGAGCTGAAGAGGAATACCGTGAATGTGGACAGACACTACGAAGTTAAGCTTTTAGAAAAACGGAGCATGAAATAATGGAGACATTTTAAGAAACGTTTCGATGGTTAGAACACATCAAGAATGGACCAACATTGGTATCCCATGTTGCAACCTTTTCCCACTTTAGACCAAACCGGACCATATTTCTTCGTGAGCCAATGTATATGATGAACACTGCATTCTACTGTCTGGAAGTCCAACACTACCGCTACCAGAACTCGGTACAAATCATTGACCGCCACACCACGTGCCAATTCCCAGACAGGCGGGCCACTATAACATCGAGGAGGTTTGGTGAGTTCGAGTTCTGAGCCCAGAGAGATGCCCAGACGAGGGTTTTGTGTCGGGGGGGGGGGGAGCCCGGGCCGAGCTCGCACCGCGCAGTCCCTCCCCAGGGCGCCGTCCCCACAGCGCCAGGCGGACGCCACCGCGGCCCAGAGCGCGGCGGCCACTTGCGCCGCGTGGCCGCAGAGCGAGACGAGGCGCAGGCCCACGAGGCCGCTCGCCGCACGCATCGCCCTGCGGAGAGGACACGGCCACGGAAGTGAAGGGTCGGCGACATGGCACAGAGTTAGCAAGTTCGCCACTTGTTGTCGAGGTTCACGGCTCTAAACTGGAAGAGTAGACCAGTGTATCCAGGCCTCGCCATCACAATTCGCCAAATTTGAAAACTTACACCACAAATTATATTTTATTGGTAAACGCAGAGCAATCGTCGCGACTGCAAACACTTGGTAGAACTCTTCTGAGAAACGAGTTGAAACCGGCTTCCCTGGGTCATCAAGAGTCGGGGCGGCGATCAGCGCGCTGAGATCAGAACCCGACGTCCCCAGTTCGACTCCAGGCCACGGCTGACATCGCGTGATCACTGAAGAGGCGTGGGGAGGCCTTCGTCCAGGGCTGAACATTATTCGAATTTAAAAACAGCAAACAGGCGCCAATCACACGGCTCCAATGAGAATATACTCTCTTGATGTGTTATCAACAGGAACAAGTGCAGCGACTTGCTGTTCAAATGGACATCGAGGCGGTGCTCAGCTCCTGGTTATCGCCCGGACCAGTGGTTGGAATGACACGTTCCTGTGGTAGCGGGCGCCCACGAAACAAAGTTGATATCAATAGGAAAGTGGAACACTGCAAAGAAGGTTTAACAGTATTTCTACCACCAACATCAAGTTCCAATCACGGGTCCCAATTAAAGGCAAAACCCCAACAACTATCAAACGACAATTCGTGAATGCCCCGATCTCGCCGACTTAATCCCTTTGCGCGTTGCAATTACTTACGAATCGTTGTAATTACCAGTGGCTTAATCGACGCCTGATAATGTGGAAAGTTGAGCGTCGATGCGATCCCAACTCGCAACCTCCTTGCGGCCCATGAGGCGCCAGAGTTGCTAAGCAACTGCTGATTTAACCGGGACCGGAGTGAGATGGTGAGTACAACGGCGGCCATGTTGCTTATGGAAGTAGAGCGCGAGACCCAACATCTCGACGCCGGCACGTCGCGTGATGATGACGTCACAGGCGTTAATGTTGACGGCTGTTTGGGAATTTCCCTATGCAAGATGGCCGCGAAAAAATTCTGCTCGGTCTCAACGCGTACGACGCGGGATCCACATCTCGCGATAGCTCGTGCCGGATCCATTCACTTGTGAGCAGTCACCGAAGTCTCGCGAGAGCTGGACCCGGGTACTTCCACGTCAGACAGTCTCGGTGGGGCCGCATCAGCTGAGACGCAATGGTGAGTGGCACATCTATTAGCATTACAATCAGAGCCGCTGCAATCACACAAGTTAACACAACAGTCAACAATGACAGACGTCGGTAGTGAGCGTTTGGGCGACAGCGATTAGAGTCGCACTCCTCACGCGTCGAGGTTAGTTGGTTTGGGGTCTGGCCTAGGCGAAGCCCATCGTGGGCCGTCTGGAGTCTGAGCAGTATTTGATTTAATTTAACTTTTATTTTACAACATAAAACCTCTTTATGCTTGTTTTATTCTGCCTTATTAACATGTGGAGGTTGTGACATTAGATCCCTACCTTGTGTAACGTGACGTGAGTTACAGCGTATACAATACCTTCAAAGAGGTGGTGTGGTGGGTAAGGTGGTTGGTTCATCGTGGCCATGTCGGACACAGTCGCCGCTGAGATTCTCGATTTGAGCTCTGGGTGAGGGGGTCTCTGTTGGACCGTGTCCACCGAGCACCATGTCAGAGTTACCTTGCGAGCTTCTCAAGTGGAGCGTGCATTGACATAACCCAGCGGTAGCGCATTTTACAGAGGTTTATGGTTCGATTCCGGAAATAGTTAATTGGGAAACAGCGATGAATCGTCGCCAACTACTGCGGAAGCTTGGCAGGGCCCTCCTGAAAAGGGTTGCGACTCTGTGAGCATTTCCGAACTTATGCATAATGATGATGATGGACGATTACCAGGGGTCTTCATTGCGGGCCACTGGGGGCCGCCAGTGCGGCCCCTGACGCATCCCGTCGCGTTGTCTCAAACCCAATTGTCTCAAATGCGTGGCGGCCCTCACACTGATGATGTCTTAACGGCTAAAGTGTCTTGCGGTGAGTGCTGAACACTGTTTGGTGTTGCTACCATTCAGCAAACGCATCTGTGACAGGGCATGGTAGAAGATGCGACACTGAATGTAGGGAAGAGGCAATGGGAGGGAACTCGGAAGTAATTACGTGGCGTTACTTTCTCGGGGGCATTGTCCAACAGAGGAGGGTGCTTCACAGTGTTCTCTTGGAAGAACAAAGTCTGTCCTGTATGTGACTAAGGCGACGAACTTCAAACCTTTTCCATTAAAATTACCCCAAAAATATTATTGTAATGGGTGGGTATGTATACAATTCAACTTTCAGAGCTATTGATCTGCGAAATCACTTGCATCTGAATCTCACACGATACAATACAATAACATTTTGTGGTAAAAATCTAAGACTATTTTTTAACGTGCTTATTTATTTCGTGAAGGCCTTTTACATGTGACGATCATGCAGTGAGAGGGTCAGATGGTGATTTAGCAACAGGAATTTTCCTTTGTATTTTTCTCAAAAGCTTTGAGAAAATGTATATGAGAGATACAAATTATATTGTTTAAAACTGCTCCATTATTATTTGACTGCATAAATCATGTGAAGTGATTTTTTTTCTCCCCTTGTGTTAATTTAAGTCACATTAAACGTGTTACAGTAGCAGCAATAATATAACAAAGTGTGGCACTTTGGTCAGCGCACTTAACGTTCAGTTCGACGGGCATGAGTTAAAATCACAGTTTCGTATCAACACTTTGTGGGAAATGATAGTGCTGCACCCAGCTCCAGCTTTAATTGCCGCGTTTACTCCCCTACAGCCGCTGCGACTGGAGATAAAGCGCAAGCTAACGGCACGCTCGGACCGCGTGAAGTGTGTGGACCTACACCCGAGCGAGCCATGGATGCTGGCCAGCCTCTACAACGGCAGCGTGTGCGTGTGGAACCACGAGACGCAGGTGCGCCTGTGCTCGCGCTTCTTCATTGACGCGGCCCTGGCAGTTTGTGCCGTTGAACAGCACGCGATTGACTGTGCGCGTTGTTATATACAGTCCCCTACCATTGCCATGGGATGTACATGCAGTGGTACCTCGGTATGCGTCGCTAATTCGTTCCAGAAGGTAGGAGGACTTATACCGAAAATGACGTATACCAAACGAATTTTTCATCATAAGAAATAAAGGGAAAGGAAATAATTCATTCCAGAGTATAATAAATGATATTTTATATGGCTTATTATACATTAATGGGGCTGTATAAAATAATTTAGACACTACTTATTACTAAAATGCATACATAAATGAAAAGAAATTCATAAATAAATAAAAAACTAAATATAACTTTACTTTTCCTTGCTGAGAGGAGTTGATAACCTACGAGGATGGTGGTGAGGAAGGGGAAGGAGAAGGAGATGCTATTTTTTGGAAGGAGAGTCCCCTACCATTAACTTCAGGAAGCTGAAATTCAGGAGTTTTTTCTCTTTCTTTTTTCTGTCTTTTTTCTTGACTTGGACCTGGTTGAGGCTCACCAGGTTTGAGTTTTACTAAAAACCTGTCCATTGAAGTTTGTTTTTGCCTTCTAAGAATGTTCCTGAAGTGTGACATTGTCTGGTCATTCCACACAATTCTGTTACGGCTTGTTAGAGCCGTAACAGTATTGTGTACGCGGGTACTGTACGCGGTGACTCATCCCGACCCATACAAGTTCTAGCAAGCGCGTCGTATCCCAAGCAAGACGTCGTATCTCAGGACATTTTTTTCTCGTCAAAACACGACGTATACCAAATTCGACGTATTCCAAAGCGGTCGTATACCGAGGTATGACTGTACCATTCGGGGTCATCATAAGGCAGTGAGATGGCGCAGTGGTAGTACATTCTCTTCTTGTTGTAAAGGTTTGTAACTTACTCACAAATCACTTATTTGGAAAACAGCAATCGCAACCGATTGTAAAAAAACTTAGCAGGGATTACACAAATAACTATTTATCCTTACTGCAAAAACTTAACAGGACCCTCCTGAAAAAGTCTTGAAACTGAATGAGGCTTTCTTGGGTTAACAATGGAGTCATAACATGAACATTATTCCTTTGTCTTGTTTGTACAAATACGATGACATCTGAGATGTGACATCTGAGATGTCATCTTATTTGCACTGTCTCCCCTCTTTTATATGGTATGTCTAGTTTCATTTTTCTCAGTTGTAATGTCTGTCTGAATTCTTCTGTTGTGTTTATTTTGTCCATTACTCTGCAGGAAACACTCATAAAATATATAACAATCTAAACTAGTAGACTCTTAAATTGCACGATTTGATCCATGTCTAATGAGCGACTTCCGCGACACGTCATGTAGAGGGTACTTCTTTATTTCTCACACTGGGCACCACACAGGCCAACACGTATTCTTCTCACTCTTAGTACAACACTTAGATATTAACGTCTCTACTGGCTATACACAGCCGATCACTCGGCGTGGTCCCACCGCTCTCATTCGGCTACGCTGCTGGCTGGTGGCGTGACGATGATGACGATGGAAACCCCGCAGGAGATCTTCCACGTGGCCAGATGACTGAGAGAGATGTCGGCGAGCAGCGACGCAGTCAGGACCCAAGACCCCACACACGAGCCCTGGGTCCGCTCCCCCTTATATCCCCCCAGGCGTAGCTAGGCCCAGCCTCCAGCCACCCCCACTCGTGGAATCTTCTAGCAGGTTACGGAGTATCTCGGCTCACCCCACCTGTTACCTGTGCCCCAGATACCTCTCCTTCTTTGATTGGTTGTTACTTTAACCGTGCCCGTACCCGTGATTCCCTTTCCCGGCCAGCAGGTGTCACCCTGTCATTACATATGTATTGTGAGCCTAAGATATATTGTAGTCTACAAATTGTTATATACCTGCTATTGTTACGTATCTGCTATTGTCTGTTTATTTTGTGTGTAGACGCTGGTGAAGACGTTTGAGGTGTGCGACCTGCCGGTACGCGCTGCCAAGTTTGTGGCTCGCAAAAACTGGATGGTTGCTGGCTCGGTGAGTGTCATATTTTGCTGAGTGAGTTTTACTTATATTGAGAGTGCTGATGAGTTTTCACATTTGTATAATGAGGCCCAGTGGTTTAACTAACCTCCACTTGCCAAGGCTACAACTACCAAGAGCTTTGTTTTCCAATGTAGCTGTCCATGCACATGGATACTAGATGTTGCTAAATCCCGTAGATCAATTTGAGGGAAGAGGTTCGTGAAGTATGTATTGAATTGTGTTGTGTTTGTGATGTCACTTGTTATGTTTGGATTGCCATTCACTATTATTTCCATTATGAGGACCAAGTGGGCCAGTATGCAATTGGAAATCAGAAATTGACAGTAAGAAATACCTTAGCAGTTTTTAATCGATGTGTACTACTGGCTGTAACAAATATAGTTCGGATGTCATCATTTACGGAAAATACATAACAAAAACTGAAAAGTGGAATTACACTGAGACACTGAAAGGGGAGAACACATGGATGAGAGAACATACACCGGTCAATGGCAACATACATACATACAAACAATTAAGTAAAGAAAGTGTATTTGTGCAAGATACGTCACAAAAAGGGATGATGGTCAAGAATAATAGTGGCGTGGCAGCCGAGGAATGGATCGTGTCCAAAAGTATGTCCACCGAGGAGATGAAGCGATGAAATCCATTTGTGTACAGTTGCTCGGTGGATTGTTGCATCGCAAGGACCGTAAGAAATGAGTGCAGTTTGGGGGATACCTTCATCCACCAGTGGATTGATCATGGTGGACAATGATGATATATTACATGAGCGACCCTGGTCACAG